CCTGGGAGAGGAACCCAGCTCTACTGATTAAAGTAAAGAACCCAAAGAAGTGAGCGGTGGTGGAGTGGCGCACAACGAAAAGGGCACAAAGGAAGGGAGCGGTTACAATTATACACCTTGGCACTACATGTTTCGGCCCCAAATGGCCATCTTCAGGTGTCTTGATATGTTACAAAAATTATTTTAATTTATGTTAAAACTGCTACACTCTGTTAGTCCGTGTTACAATCACACGCCGTAGTTCTCTTTTCAAGGTTAAGGCAACACACCACCACAGACAATACTAAAACAAAATACACTGCATACTCGCAGCAACAAAAAGAAATTGGGTCGCCTTCATGTACAGCGGTTAGGAAGTAAGAGCAATCACAAATCTTCTGCGAGACAAAAAAATAAAATTACGCGGAACACAATATAAATAGCCACAGCCACAAATAGTTAAATATAAGAGAAGTGGAAATCATCAAATGAAAAGTTTAGATTGCCCATTAAAATAGTCGGACAAACAGGAAGAAAAATCAAAACCTGATATAAAGAACACATTCGCGACATCAGTGTAACAATAATAACTCAGGATATTCAAGTCATATATTCAACACCGGATACACATACAGCAAAATAGTAGACACCATGGAAATCATAACAACGGGGAGAAAAATAAAATATTTAAGTATACTTTAGAAATACCATATTTACAAAACTAGTAAAAAAGATTTACATATGAATTACACCAACATCGACACACACACAACCCTGTACTTGAAATACTATACAAAATTACGGGGGCACGCGGTATCTTAGTTGGTTGAGGCACTATGTTACAAGTCTGAAGGTCACAGGTTCCAAGTCCCCATGAGGTAATAGGATTTTTTCTGTTGACCTAGTCCTTCCTAGGGTTGACTCAGCCTCCAACAGAAATGAATATCAGGAATTAATTAAATACTATTCCTGGGGAGTAAAGCGCGGACGGCCATCTTTGAGCCGATTGTCTAGATAATGTGGGACCCCGAACGTCTCATAATCCTTCATGGCCTGTTACAGGGATAGCTTTATGTTCTTACATACAATTCATAACACTATTCCGTCCCCCATTTTCTCCCCACTCCTCACAACCAGGGCATATAAATACAGGGACAAATACACCGCATCGGCAATAGTAATGACAACACCACAAGCTGTGGAGGAAACGCGCAAATCAGGGGATGTGAGTACAAAGTAAATAAACATAACATAATAATAATATCAAACAATTAGAAAGCAAAATTAATCTCCTGAAGATGGTCGTTTGGGACCGAACCATGTAGTGCCAAAGTGTATAATGTTAAACTAAAAAAAAAAAATAAATAGAGAATAAACAAGTGTTGCAATATTGACGGACGATAAATATATGGACATTAAGTTTGTCTTCAACTTCGAGGGAAGAATATACAGTGGACAAGGTGCTGAGAAAAGTATTTATTCTTAAGACCGAGGTAGTAACAGGAATCCAGAGAAAAGTTCATAATTAAAGCTTCATACTTAACATTCGTTGACAGATATTATCAGGATGATCAAAATAATGAGAATGAGGTGTGTGCCTGTGTGGGGCATATGGCACAGGTAGAAGAAGAGAGAAATGCATACAGAATTGTGCTAGGAAATCTGAAGGAAAGAGAACACTAGGCATTTCTACATGAAAGTTTCAATATAGCATTAAAATGGAGATTAAAGAAATAGGATTTGGGGGAGAACTGTGCAGGGACTGGCAGCAGGATGTTGCAGACTTGGATATAAACCTCAAAATCCCTTGAAATATCAAAAAATTTTAACTAGCCAACTATTAGCTTCTCAAAAAAGATTCTCTTCCATTGAGATAATTACATGTAATGAGTGAAGAGCTCACTGTTGCATAATTCCCTGGCGTGGGATAGTAGTTATTTAGCTGTTGAAGAATTTGCTCTTTCTCCCAGACCCCAAATTTCATTCCTGTTACAGCAAAAAGATAAACTTCACCCCCAAACCTGGACCACCTCTGTGGTCTACTGGTCAGATCCCTGGCTACAGATCCAGAGGTCCGGGTTCGATTCCGCCCGTTACCATATTTTCTGAGAAGTAGTGTGTTTATTCGATCGGTATAAGTTCGCTTTCATGCTTAAACCACTGAGTTTTGTTTGGTTTGTTTGGGGTATCGTTGCGCGAACACTCGACATCCCCTGTGTGCTAATGTTGGTACTAACTTCGCCGACAAACGGCGATACGTAGGTCGGTCGGTAGAGTTCGCTTGCGGACTAAAACCACGGAGTTTGTTTTCTTTCTTTGTTTTATTATACACAAACATGGGATATTTCACACCATATTGCTTAAGATTTGTTTAAACCGTATTATTTATAAACAGTCACTGAGTAATTGGTATAAAATTAATACCTTTGCATTATATTCAAAGAAGTGAATATATTGATATTCTGAATATTATATCTGGCAATTATTTACTTAACAGAAATACGTATTTGTGGGGAAACAAATGGGAGATGAATGGGAGCCTTGAACCTGCAATAGGCCACGGTCCAGAAGAAGGTTACAATGAGAATGATGTTTCCCTAAACATGATTAAATAACTTCGTTTGTAATAGAGGTGCTGTGCGTTCTCCTGAAATTATGAAATAAATTATTAAATATTATTTAAGACCTTCATTCTTTAATATGTTAAGCATCCAAGAAAAACAACTCTGTATTCAACTACAGAAGTCAGCGTTCCGAATTCCACTTCCAAACAATATTCTGATGTGATATGTTACCGGTAAGTTTGTTAAATCCGTGAGCCTTTCTTTGAGATCTTTCCCTCTCTTTGATCGTAACAGTATATAAATGTTGCCCACATCAGGACAGGAGCGAAGTATCTTTTCCAACAACACTTTCCCTATGAAGCCAGTTCCTCCAGTAACAAATATATTTTTAGCCTGGAAGAATTCAGGTATAGTTGCCATGTTCGTCTTCCTGAAAGAAATATTTAAAATATTATGAACGCTTTTGTTTGATCTAAATGATCAATGGAATAAGATATGATAAAATGCGAGTTAAAATATCAAATCAATATATTTGAATGGTAGTTCTGAAACAAAGAAAAGAAGGGGAAAGATTTAAATCTCAGAATGGAGGGGGATTATTTAAACCAGTATTGTGGTTGCCTACAAACTAAAAGACTGGGGTTTTATTCCTTACAAGAATAGAAATGTTTACCTCCACTGTGACATCCAACATGACTCTGGCTCGTAAATAATAGAACCCAGAAATAAAATTAGCTGAGAGGTGTAAGTCGATAAAGCAGCGCGCGTCTTTACAGCTTCTGTTGCTTCAACATATAGGCTGGCGACCAGTAAACTTACACTTTCGTACATAATCAATGAATTTCTGTTCTGGATCGGAAATTGAAACAGAAACGGAGGCTAAGGAAACTGCGGCAAAAAACCAGGGATCCAGCGTGTAAAAGGGCAGTTGCTTGGGTCACGAAATAAATCAGACTAATGATCCGTAAAAAGGCACTTGAACGGCGGGAAATAAAAATAGCTAACACTGAAGTCACACCTCGGGCTATTTGGCCCATTGCGAAATCCCTCCTACAGAAGAATGGACCAAGGGCACAAACTGCTATTCATGGTCCTTCATGTCTTAAATTTCATCAATTCGAGAAAGCCAAAGCATTTGCTTACTACTTGGATAACACAGGTCTGCAACCAAAAAACTGCATAGGATATTTTTACTGTTTCTTATAGATTTTTACTCACTAAAACCGGAAATAATAGTAAAAAGAAATCCATCACGTCAATTTTTTGTTTGCAAAACTCATATTATTTGTTTAATTTTGCGTGAAATTTCTCTTCAGCATGAAATCTGTTATCCTATTGTTGATTCTAAAAACCATATCCAATAATTATTGCTTACTTTAAAATAATATTTATAAGAGTGGATCTAAACAATAATACAAATAGAAAATGGGTGGGATTGGGGAGGGCATTGGAAGGGGTTGGTAGGTTGGGTTTGGCGGCGTGAGAAGCTCAGGCGATCATGTCCCAACACGTTTACTTTGTTTGTAGCGAAAGGTGAGGAATCTTACTAGCTCGGTTGAGCATGTTTGGACATGTTCTTTGGGGCAATAGGAATGAGTATAAACAAGCCTGCTGTCAGATTTGATCATGTCTCAACATGCTAAATAAGTTCAGGATCTTGGTTGATGTATAAGCCACTCAGTTTACATCCTGCATTCAAACGTGACTGTGCTTGTGTTTTAGCTCTGTATTATGGCTCAAAGAGGTTGTGTTATTTCTCCGGACAACTTTTGTTTTATTTGTGGTGAATACATAGTTAAAAGTCAACAAAGAAACATAAGTGATTTTGTGAAGAAATTGTATTTTGCTTATTTCAAATTGAAACTTGGGGATCAAGACAAACCTTGGGCTCCTCACAAGGTGTACAGAAGGTGCGAGGAAGATCTTCGTTTGTGGTTTAAGGGTAAGAAATACTCATTTCGTTTTGGCATTCCTGTGATGTGGCGTGAACAGCAAAACGACACGAGTGATTGTTATTTCTGTTCGGTAGATGTGAAAGGTTTTAATACAAAAAGTAAAAAGAAAATATCTTACCCATACCTTAATTCAGCTATTCGTCCAGTGCCTCATAGCTCTGAAATACCAGTTCCCTTCCCACCTTTCAGTTTGGATGATATAAAGAGTGATTCGGAGGACAGAACTATATTACCAACCCAGGATGAATCCAGCTCAGATTTTTCTGTTGATGAGGGACCCCAACCTTTTTCTCAGAGTGAGCTCAATGACTTAGTTAGAGATTTAGGCCTTTCCAAAGATGCAGCCGAATTGCTAGGGTCAAGACTAAAAAATAAAAACTTGCTGTCACCTGGAACATCATTCTCGTGGTACAGGCACCGAGAGAAGGAATTCACTCAGTTTTTCTCCAAAGACGGAAATGGGAGAAAAAGAAAAAGAAGCATGGGACTCCTTCAAAGACGTAGTGCACAAGTTTTTGGGGAACACTAAAGACCCTCTCTACAAAACCAATGTACAACGCATGTTGGCTGCATATAAAGCTCAAGGCTGCAAGATGAGCTTAAAAGTTCGCTTCTTACACTCCCATGGCGACTGTTTTCCCGAAAACTTGGGAGCCTATAGTGAAGAGCAGGGTGAACGATTTCACCAGGATGTCCGTCATATCGAAAGAAGCTACCAAGGAAGATGGAATGCGAATTGGCCAGCTGACTGCTGCTGGGTGATCAAGCGGGAAACGGAAAATGGAAAGCGAAAGCGCGTTCGGAGAAGCATCAAAGAGAAGAAGAAAAGGTTTCACAGGCAAAAAGACTGAACACAGAATGTTAAATATATCGTGAAGGAATTGTTTAATTATGAGAAATAATATGTTTAGTTCGGTGTAATAAAATTAGTGAGTTTTTTCATCGTTGTTATGATTTTTTATTGTAAATCCCTATTATTTTCCAAAAAAAAAAAAACGTACGTGATAGGGGAAAATTGAGGTCATTTTTGGATTCAGCATCCTAGAAAACATAAAGTTTACTAAAAATATTCCATGCAGCTGAAAAAAAATTATTTTTGCAGACCTGTGTAATCAGTTCACACTCCCTGACTTATGTGACGAAAACAATGAACGGGGTCTGCAACGGGATTCACTCAACCTCATGAGGATAACTGGGGAGCTATTTCAGGGAAATAGCGGCTCCGGTCTAGAAATCCGAAATTAAGGGCCGTGGGGATTCTTTGCGCTGACCACGCGATACCGTCTGTACTAAATTTGCTGACAAGCGGTGGTTGCTCGGTCGGTATAGTTCACCTGCGGACTAAAAGCACGGAGTTCTTGTTTGTGTATAATTGATGCCCCCCCCCAAAAAAAAACACCTGGTGTTTACCTAGACTTCTTCGCCGACGTTACTTGTCCGTACAAGACAGATCGAAAAGAGCGTTTTTTGTCAGAAAACTCCAGCGTGGTCTCAGCTCAATGCAGACAAGGTCTGAGAGCTAAAATATTAAAATAAATAAAGACAAGCCACTGAGAATGTACTTTCCTCGCAGTTATCGACCACCTGAGTTGCATCTTACACTAAATGGACGAAATATTCCATCTGTAAATAGTGTAAAATATCTCGGTGTAATCTTTACTTGGAAATTACACATAGAAATAATCGAAGTCATGGCCTTCAGGACATTTATTAGAATATAATCCCTACTGAAAAGTGAGTGATTAAACACTAACATTAAATTGACCCTCCACAAAGCGTTTCTTAGGAGTATAATGACTTCTGCTTGCCCGCCTGGGAATTTTGCGGCAGATAATCACCATCTTAAATTGCAGCGCCTGCAAAATAATATCCTCCGCACCAGTGACAATTTTCCAAGGCGTGCACAGATTCGTGATTTGCATATGGCTTTCAAACTTCCGCACATATATGATTCAATAACAAAATAATGCAGAAAACAAGCTGGTCATACAAAATCTTGAAAATGCAAATGTTCGCAACATTCGACAAGTCGAACCCCGACACAGGAAATATAAAAGGCTTAAACTTGGCGACGGTCAAGCATAGGCCTGTCGATGTGACTATAGATTACTGTTGTAGCAGAAGCTACTATAGACAGGGCATGATCTGCCGTACTGAGCCTGGACTGAGAGAGGCCCTGTATACACCGCTGTCCAAAAAGTATCCAACTTTATTTCTTGTCGCTGTAAGTAATGGCCAAAGCGGTGGTGAAACTGAGCGTAGTGGTTGAAGAGACTTTCATGCGCATGTGTGATTTTGCTGACTCGCAACACCGCCGGATGCGTCTGTGTCTACCAGGCAGTGAAGGGGTGTGAAACTTTCGTCGCATTCTCGTTTCGCTCAAGATGACACAACTCTTGGAGCAACGATACTGCATCAAGTTTTTTCAGAATCTTGGAGATACCCAAGCGGAAACAATCCGCTAAATTCAGCAGGATTTCAGCGATGATGCGTCACTTAAATTAAAGAGTTGTTCAACCGCTTTAAAAATGGCCGTATGTCGGCGGACAGTGACCAGCTTTCCCGGGAGACCCTCAACGAACCGAAATGCTGATGTCATTGAAAAGTGTGGACACTGATCTTGGAGGACAGTCATTTGACAATCCGGGGAGTTGCTGATGAGGTTGGGATCAGCAATGTTCCGCAAACACAATTTTAACTGAGGATTTGGGCATGCGAAGGGTGGCGGCAAAATTTCTTCCCAAGCTGCTTTCGCCGGAGCAGCAACAACTTCGTCTTGAGATCAGGCAGGACATGCTTGAGTGCGCCAACAGGGATCCTCAGTTCCTGAAGACTGTATCATTGGTGACGAGTCGTGGGCCTAGGGATATGACACGGAAACCAAGGTGCAGGCGTCACAATGGAAGCGTCAAACATCCCCGAGGTTAAAAAAAAACATTACAGGTTCGTAGCAATGTGCAGGTGATACTGACTGTTTTTTTTTTCGATTTCTGGGAAGTTGTGCATCATGAGTACGCAACACTAGGCCAAATTGCCAATAAGAAATACTACCAAGAAGTCCTCCGCCATCTTTGTGATGCAGTTCGGCGAAAGAGACTGGAGCTGTGGGATGCGCGCAACTGGCAGCTGCATCATGACGTCTCAGCTCATTTATCAAACCTGATCCAGAGTTTCCTGGCTAATAAATGATACAAACTCCGTCCCAAGTGCAAACAATATATATTATATGTCTTTGATCTTGTTCTCTTCTACACTACATGTTTCGGCCTCTAACGGCCATCATCAGGTGCACAAGTATACTCTTACGTTGCTGCCACACTGAACCCAGTCTAAAATTTAACATTTAAAAAACACATTGCTATTTTCTTCGTTATTATCAACATCTACCTCGTTGATATCTGTCTGGTATGTAGATTATTTTGCACACGTCAATTTTGGTTTTCCTGTAGTATCACTATAAAATCTTTAGTTATAATTTTAAAATCCTTTAAAATTTTCTCTAAATTTTAAATTTAAAAATTAAAATTGTCAGGGTTACTCGCCCTACGTCTAAAGTGCTGCAGCGGCTAGTTCTTGTTTCCACACTGTACAGGTGTTATTCTGTGTAGTCTTCATGTGTGCGTGCCGCTGCTTGTCTTTACTACGTGTGCTGTCAATATACGTACAAGACAGATATCAACGAGGTAGATGTTGATAATAACGAAGAAAATAACAACGTGTTTCTTAAATGTTAAATTTTAGACTGGGTTCAGTGTGGCAGCAACGTAAGAGTATACGCCTGATGATGGCCGTTAGAGGCCGAAATATGTAGTGTAGAAGAGAACAAGATCAAAGACATATAATATATATTGTTTGCACTTGGGACGGAGTTTGTACCATTTATCGTGTAGAGTGCAACAGGATGCTTAAATATAATATTGTTTCCTGGCTAAGCACGGCATTCCGAAGGTTCGCCAGGCTCCCCACTCTCCTGACATGGCTCCTTGTGATTTCTGTCTGTCCCGAGTTTGAAGACACGGCTAAAAGCCTCTCGTTTTGACAGCCTCAAGGACATCATGCAGAACGCGACGGCGCAGCTGTACGCCATTCCAAAAGAAGCCTTCCAGAATTGCTTCCAGCGATGGAAGGACCGCTGGGCTAAGTGTGTGGAGACACAAGGGGCCTACTTTGAAGGGGATTAGGTATTGTAAGTACCAAGAAACAGAACGTTGTTTTCCGTGCCCAAGGTCGGATACATTTTGGACAGAGTAGTATATTGTATATGCATACATTTAATAACATGTAAAATGTAAACTGTACATACTGACAACAAATTCATTACTGCTGACTGTGACTCTGGCAACCGGCAGACCCGTCCACTTGTCAGAGAGAGCACTTCGCATCAACAAGCCTACAACTGTTTGACGGTAGTAAATATCTGGTCATAAGCCCCAGATGGATGCTTTATTCCAAGACAGACTGGCCAACTACCAATCGGTTGTACTGTAACTTTGACTTTTACTTAGATAAGTGCAGTGATTGCAATGCAGTTGAGAGTACTAAGACAGGAATGGAGTATGTCCTTAGAGAATTGTGAAGATTATTTCAGTACAGATTAGGACGGAGGAGTAGAGAGTAAAGACGAAATAATAAGACTTCCTAGTATTTTGAAATGCTACTTTCTGTGCTGAGATCCGTTGCTAGGAGACTTCTAGTGAAGACGGAGAATGCTAGTGCGTGTTCAACGTTGAACTAAACGTGTCTAGAATAGCAATAGAATTATAATCGAGTGGATTAAGATAATCTGTAACCGAGGTTGCCAGGAGACTTCTAGTGAAGACGGAGATTCCTAGTGCGTGTTCAACGTTGAACTAAATGTGTCTAGAATAGCGATAGCATTATAATCGAGTGGATTAAGAGAATCTGTAACCGAAGTTGCCAGGAGACTTCTAGTGAAGACGGAGAATCCTAGTGCGTGTTGAACGTTGAACTAAATGTGTCTAGAATAGCGATAGCATTATAAACGGGTGGATTAAGAGAATCTGTAACCGAAGTTGCCAGGAGACTTCTAGTGAAGACGGAGAATCCTAGTGCGTGTTCAACGTTGAACTAAACGTGTCTAGAATAGCGATAGCATTATAATCGAGTGGATTAAGAGAATTTGTAACCGAAGTGCAAATAGATCCAATCTTCTGATGTAGAAACCGTTATTCTCTCCACGCACATCCCCCTCCACTTGACAATATTAATCAAGTGTATGAAGTTGTAGTATTCATCCAATCCTCTGTGAATTTGGTTCACTCACCTTATTACTCCAATTCTCTATATGGATGCACGCGTGTATACACACACAGACCTACTCTTGAGACTTTGACAAAATGTTTCTACTCGGACCTGAAGTACACCAGAACTGTGGCTATGCGCATTCATGTACCTAACAGACTATGTTCTTGGTGCAGAGAGGTCACTGAAGGGCACTCAGCCATTACTACTCATTACCATTACCATGTAATGCACTGCGGAATAAAATCACTTTTACAATTGTTATTCCAACAAACAGGAAGTAATGTATAAAAATTCTCGCACTATGTTGAAAAAGCATAAAAGTGTCTTGTCGTTTATTGTGTAGGCATATATCCTGTTCAACAGTTTTCATTTGGAAACATATGAATATTTACTTCAGACATGTAATGTCATACAGCCTTGTAGAAATTCACCAATGTTTCAGGGGAATGTACTGCTTCCATCTTCAGGATTAAGGAGTAAGCTAAATCATCCCTTATCTTCTATTAGTTCTATCCAAGCCCTTTCAGACAGTGGTTACACTCTCACTAGTTCTATTGGAGTTCCTTTCTCTTCTGTAACAGAACCTGGTCCTTCTAGAGATCGTTTACTATGAAGCAACTGGTGAAACAAGACATCGAAAGAAAAATAGATTATTGAAAGTCGCAGTGCGGGGGCCGGGTTTTATGGCCCATCTCTTACATGCATACAACAAGACCTCGAGGAGTGTATTCTTGCGACGTCACTTCATTACTCAACGCCGTAACTACAATTCAACGTAACTATAACACAAAGTTGAACAACTCGTTTCACGTCATTCCTTCCCGTATTAACAATTTTCAATATACTGTAGAACTGTCGAACTCTCCGTGCTGGCTTTCCACTGACTTCTGTCCGGCTTCTACTGGCTCCCACTGCACACTGGTTTCTTCCCTTTCACTGCTCTCTGGCTGCCCGTCTGGAATCACAACACACACTGCTTAGCTGGCTTCTTATACTGTTCCCCGTTGCCACTTAGTAACAGAAGAGTCCGCTGTTACGTCACAGTGGGAAGTGGTTGCTTGTTACCCTAGAAGCGGCAGCAGCGTCCGTTGTTACGTCACAGCGGACGTGTTGCCTATAGCTCCTCTGCTGTTTCGTCGCCGCGGGCCGCGTTACAGGGGACGAGTGTTACCCCGTCTCGCAGATATCACGATTCTTCAACATCCCGCCAGTGTTGCTCTGCATTTAAACGTCCTTTCCTGTTAGGGTTCTTGAATTGTATTTGAAAATGTATCTAACACAAATTTTATATTAAAATGAATTTAATTAACTTTGTTTTTATCAGTAAAGCACATTGTCGCATATTGTAACGTAAGATTTGAAAATGTTTAGATAAAAAGTTATACTCAATTTTTAGTTCTTTCTTTGTAATTTTGATGCCTACTCTAAAAGTAGTTTTATCGCTTCTTCACACAGTAGTTCTGTTCCTCTGCTTTTACATTTGACAGTTTCGCATTCTCTAATGCCATAAAATCCTGGAAGCAATGAGATCATTTGGTTCCCTGCTGGCAAGTTTCACATCTTCGTTACACCCTTCAGGCATTCGAGTCTTTGACCAAAGGATGGACAAGTAAAAGCATGGTATTTCAAAGAAGGTTGGAAGGAATATTCCTTGTCACTTACTTCATTGCTAAGCCCTGCTGTTGCAGCTACAAGAGAATAGTGCCCTTTCTATGGTTGCAACCAAACATTTGTATCGTGGCTGAAGTACACAGTGCATTCAATTTTCTGTGAATTCGTAGTGAATTTGAATATTGTAGTTTCATTTCGTCATAGAATGGCAATGAAACATTGTTAGGAAGATGGTGAAATTGAAAGGCAGCTGGAATATATGTGAATTGGGACTGTGCTTTCTCAGATGTTTCAAGGAGCACCACACAAAGGTGAGATTTGGTTACATATCGCGGGGAGTGAAGACTCAGTATACTTCAAGCAACTACCTATAACAGAAAAGTAATTATACTGATTTGTACAACTTTTCAAAATAAATATTTAGTGTTGTGCGTGCACTTGTACTAGCGACGTGTGCGTGCTTCCACTAACGGCACTTAAATGCCCGAATGCGCAAATCGGGGTACTTTGGCTACGACGACGATATTCATAAGTGTATCGATTGGTTGACTTCGGAAGTTAAAGTTTAAATTACGTCCATTTTTTATCTTCCGCCAAAATTGTAACACTTTTACATTCTACACTTCAACACTACATGTTTCGGCCTCAAACGACCATAGTCAGGTGTTTTTATGTTATAGATATTATACTAAAACTGTGCTAAAAACTGCTACACTGTTTTTATTTCGTGTTAAAATCACACGCTGTAGTCTTGTTAAGCAAAACGAGATAAAATCCTTTAAAATTTCTATTGCATATTATTTCACCTCACCCGGGGTTGGTCCAGTGATTGAGGCTAGCTCTTTCTAAGGGACCCAACAGCATAGGTGTTTTCCCTCACCTGAGGAAGGAAACAGATCCAGTTTCCGAAACGTCGTGTTTTGTCTTAATTATCTTAAAAACCAGAACGATGGATAAAGTCCGAAAACCCAATATCTCTGTGAATATTTTCTTATTATTCATTTATGTTTTCCTACAGTTTATATAACAGACTCATTGTATTCAGATGTCTTATTGTTTTCTCCCAGTAAACTGACTAGGTTGTCACATTTGTCTGTAATTATGCATGGAAATATATTTAGAAAATGTCTCACAATTAAGTGCATGGAATCCTGAGGTGAATTCTTCAGGCTGACAACTGCCATATTTCCATACAACAATGGCGTGGTACAAAGGTGTTCTCCTTAATTATTTATGTGTGAAAGGAGAGAGAAGAAGTTGAAACAGAACAATTACAGACGAGCCTTAATTTTTATGGGACGAATGACTTGACGTTAATTTCTTTTCCCGAATATTCCGATCCTACAATAAGGTATGTTATAGGACATAAAGAAGGTAAACCGATGGGAAGTGGACGGTTTTGGTTTATGCAGCAAAGGAAAGGAAAGTGGAAGGTTCCAGTGCAGAAAAGTTGTGGTTCAAGTTTTGCCAAATATCTGGGAAAGAAAGAAATCATAATGAGTACTGTTATTTGGGATATGACGCCATATGTACCTCTAACAGGTTACATGTCGTCACGAAATGGAAGATAGTATTCTTCGTAACCACCACAATGAGGAACTCAAATACAACGGAGAACATGTTGAAAAATTCAAATGAATTTAGTACCACAACAGGACATTTCTCCATTTTCATGGTAAGTATGAACAATCTGGCCATGTTGTGTTTTTCTAATAATACACTGGTCGATTTATATATATATATAAATTAGAAACTAGATTTTGGTCAGAACTGAAAGCACCCCTTTTTATCCTGGACCTTTCAATTAATCGACATAATATTTAAAAATACAGCTCCAGCCACATAGGTGGATCTCCATTACAAAGAGCAGTCACCCAATGTTGCTTCAAGATGTAGCTGCTGTTTATACTAAGAATCTTACGAAGACCAGAAATAGCTCAGTAGGCAAAAGTACATTTTTTTAATATTAATATTGTACAAAAGTACATAATTATTGCACTTTAATGAGTTAATAAACACAAATAACTCTAAAAATATCGGGATGTCTTGCAGATTGGACTCTGTCTCATCTGAGACATCGTTTCAAATAACAATTAGGATGATGAATAACGTCAAAAAGTCGATAATTACACTTTAAACGCTGTTGTAACTACAACAATTAAATTTTCTTTTTCTAGTGAAATGTCTACAGGTTAGAAGAATCCTGGTTCCCAATTTCCAGGCAGTATAGGCCAGGGGTAAAGGGAAGATAAAGTTGTCCCTGTGTTTCATTATTTAAGCACCACGCCACGAAGGTTTGTGGGGGAGTGGAGGTAGAGCTCCACTATCCTTAACCTCAGCATTAGATTAAGATAGTCGTCGTCTTCACTGTTGGCGAGTTGTGGTGTTAAGATTCTTGAAGTTTCAGCTGTGGTTGTCCCTAATTTCAAAGCTCAAGCATCGCTGCATCATGTGTTCTGACCTTGAATGTAACAGTACTGTTCTGACGCTTGTTGAACAGAGAGCCGACATCAATTTTTTGAAGTTAGGCAAAATAGCCGGAGAAGCGTGCGAAATGATGAAAAGTGTTTACGGTTGTGATTGTTTGAGTCTCTCGAACATTTTTCGGTGGTATGCTGTATTTCGTGACGGCAGGGGGGACATTGAAGACGCTCCACGTGCATCAAACCCGAGAACAAGCCGCACTGAAGAAAATGTAAAAAAAAAAAGTGACCGAAATCCTTGCATCAGACAGATGTGTTTCTGCAAGACGCATCGAGGATCTTTTGGGAATACCAAAAAGTACTGTGCATCAAATTTTGACCAAGGATTTGGGAAAAACGGAGGTCTGTGCGCGGTTTGTGCCACACACGCTGTCAGGCGATGAAAAACATTCCAGAGTGGAACACTGCAAAGACATGTTACGGTCGGCCCAAAGTGATACAAAATTTACAAAATCGGTCGTTACTGGTGACGAGACATGGTGTTTTTCAATATGACTCTCTCATAAAGCGGCAGAGTGCAGCGTGGTTCAGCGCAAAGAAGCCGAAATCAAAGAAAGTGCGCATACAAAAGAGTCGAGTAAAGACACTGCTAACCGTTTTCTTCGATTCCTAAGGAATCATTCACAAGGAATTTCTGCCAGAATGTCAAACAATCAATTCCAATTATTGTCTCGGAGTCCTCAATCATTTTTGAGCGAAAATTCTTCGAATTCGACCTGAATATCGAGAGCAATATTCCTGGTCGCTCCTCCACAACAATGCTCCACCCCACCAATCGAAGATCGTGAGCGACTTTTTGGCCAGAAAAGGGATCACAGTCCTTGATCATCCTCCTTATTCGCCAGATTTGGCTCCAGCAAAATTCTGGTTGCTTCCAAAAGTTAAGTTGGCGATGAAAGGAGACCGCCATGACACCATCCAGAACATCCAAAGGAAATGTACCGCAGGATTAAATGCGATTCCACAAAAGGAGTAAAGTGACTGTTTTCGTGTTTTCGAAAACTTTTCTATCGATTCCAGCTATGTATTGATTCAGAAGGAGACTATTTTGAATAAAGAGAGTGAAATTTTGAAAATAATTCACGTATTGTATTTTTAATGAACACAGTCCTAACAGAACCTGGACACACTGTGTACGTACAACACAAGTTGTTCCATTGTATTGGATACTTCTAAAGAGTCATCTAATTCAGTTACTTCACTCTGATTACTGGAATTAATTTCACTGTGAAGGGTAGGATCGGAAATATTATGGTCTTCAACATTGGAGACACTTGGTCCATAACGTTCCTGAAACTAGTTTTCTAAATTTCTACAATCATCAACTCCTATTAGGGCCACCTGTCCTTCTGTTTCTTTCAGAACTATGTGGCGAAAAGTCATTACCACGTTGTGAGTCTTTGACCACAATTTTTTTTCTTTTTCGCTTGTCGAAAACTACTTTAAGTAGTGGTCGAGTCAATTTTCCCACTGCGCGTGGGGTTAAGGTGGCCGAAGATGCTCGCTGTGAATCACCTTGTAGAGACTCCGAAGGTTCAGGCAGAGACGTAGCCTCACCTAAGATTGTTGGACAACTGTGATGTTCCGGAGTACGATGTACTAGGCGCCACCCAGTCGGGAACATGATATTTTCACAGGGTCGTTAAGTGGGCCTTGGTTTCAACAAGGCAGTTAACAAAACCAATGACAAATTCACATACACTCACACTTTATTAATTTCTTCTGAATTTATATCATTAGTAATACTCGATTAGGACTCTATGTAGTCCTTTGTTACGGTTTTGAGGAGAGACACTTACACTCGTCTTGACTGTTAGTGTCAGGCGTTGTCTGTTTTTGAACAAAGAAAATCGTATCACGTCGCCGACCGCTAGCAGGTCATGTAATACCTAGTGTTTCTAATTGGCTATACCCTGGGAAGTATCGCCCTAACTACGTATCATATTTTGCTGAACAAAGTGAGAACCCTTGTATTATCAGCTTCATAAGAAGTCATGCGGCAATTACATCATCCTACACTTGAATGAATGTATAAGGGGTGGGCCTTCTTGGCCCTTGCACCGCGACCACAGTGATCTTTTGTCCCTTCATCCTCCACTTAGTGTATAACCCATGACGTAATAGGGTGCGTGATTATTTACGCAATTCCACAAATTCCTAATTTAAATCTTGCAAGATACAGTAGTTATAAAAAATTAACTGTATACATAAATTAGGCGAAGTATATTATTAAAAAGGAGTAATCGGTTATAGTTATATATATTAGCCACCAGCACGTGCACATGTTTATCATTTGTTCTAATAACTTGCACACGCATGATGCCAAGGATATAAGTCTTACACTCGTTCTGTGGGTCTTAGAGATAAAGAACACTTTATTTTTCCAGTCGTCTTGAAACACTCTTGCTCTTGAAATATCATAATGAATTTGTAGCATGATTTCTAAGGCTTCATTTGGAACATTGTGAAGTATTATAAGGTAGTCTATTTCATCCCGTCCCGGGCTCGGTTGGAAGCCGAGATTTTTAATCGATAAGATGAGTTCATTAGTTGAGTATCTAAATTTGTATCTTTTCATTCTATCCCAAACGTAAGATGGATTCGTGAATTTATCTATTCCCTCGCATAAAATGTTGCAATTCTCGTGTTTGATTTTTCTCAGTCTATTTTTGCGCTAATTGCCTCCCTTTTGTATTTCAAATACTATATCTCTTCAGTTTTACAGTGTTTCGGTTTAAAAAATTTAGCTTTTCTGATTATAATTAGTTTATCGCATTCTTTATTCCACCATACACACATTGGTTACTGATCCTTACTCCATATTTTTCTTTGTCCTCCATTCCTGGGGTTGTTTTTCGTTTTCTTTCTTTTAGGATTGATCTTTTCTAATTTCCTTTTAATTATCAGGATAAAGTTCTCATACATTTCCCTAACATCGCTCTCTCTGTTCCGTCCGTTGTGCGTTTTAACTTCCGTGATTTTTTCTTTTAACTTTTCCATAAATGCAGTCCAATCGGTATCTTTACTATGCAGCCTATATGGAAAAAGTGAAGGGGAAAAAATCACAGAAGTTAAGAGGCACAACGGACGGAACAGAGAGAGCCTTTTCTTGGTTCTATTACGCTTTTATACTTGATGAAAATTTGAAAATGGTCGCTATTCAATAGGTCTGTTCAAATTTTCCAGGTGCATAACCATGCTGATCTTTGGTCCACAAAAGTTAGGTGGAAGGCTGCCTTAGGTCCTGTGGCGCCGGAGATTTTATGTCCGTGAGCCATCATTTAGCAACGTAAAGTTTATGATTTATTCCAGCCGTCTTACAGTGCATAAACTCATCCACCTCACTCTTCACTCCTGCACTACATGTTTCGGCACAAAGGTGCCATCTTCAGGTGGTTTTCGATTTACGTTAAACTACTGGCAAGGCATGCAGTGAAGTAGTTTAACGTAAATCGAAAAGCACCTGAAGATGGCACCTTTGCGCCGAAACATGTAGTGCAGGAGTGAAGAGTGAGGTGGATGAGTGTATGCACTGTAAGACGGCTGGAATAAATCATGGACATAAATCAGTGCAACAGGACGCTAAAATATAACAACGTAATGTTTATTTCCAATTCGGTGTTACAATGGAACACGTTGTTACCCCTAGTACAATTTTTCGAATTTTCCCACAGATGATGGTGTCCATTAAAGTATCCGCCAATCAAGAATTTACCTTCGAATTATACGAAGAATTGTTCCCATGCCCTCGGCACGTTTTCATGTGCGGCTACCTGTAACATTACACAATTAATATTCTATCTAGGCCAGTTCAATTACACGCACTTCAGTTTTGCCATCACCATTATACTGGCCATCTTTACGTGACTATTTCAGTTTGTTATTTATAAAAATGCCAACACTACCACCTGCCTTTCCTTCCCTTTCTCCCCATGTCAAACCCTTTCATGTACATACACTTCCTGCTCCGTCAAACCAGGACTCTGATAATATTATGATCTCTATGTTTCGGCTCCTTTGCTGGAATTCGGGGAACTTGCTTCTTAAGCTTCTACAGTTCCATTGAACAATCTTAATTAGTTGATTCCCGTTTAATTTTTTGTAATATCTGTGAAGCTCGACAGCGAACGCCATCTCCGTAGTCCACGGGTATGGCTTTATTACGCTCAGTTCGTGTTGAGCAGCTCGCGATCCGTGATAGATGGTGACCCCTGTGGTCGTGACCTTCATGTGTTCTTAAATGTTTCCGTAAGTGGTATGTTGTGTTTCTGATGACCGGTGGTTCGTAATATTGAGTGGCTGATTTGATTAGGAAGCTAATTTCAAGCCAAAGAAGGTAAATATGTTTGCATGGTACAAATTACAGTTATTTTCCGGTGATAAAGTGAAATTTTAGCATGTGTCTGGAAAGTAGTTAAAAACGACACATTTAAAACAGATTTTGATGTTGATATGCCCTATCTGCATTGAATATGTTAGGTCGCGTTTTGAATTTAGAGCAGCAGGAGGCAACAGTTGGTAGCATAACTATGTTTGGAACTGATACGCTTGGCAGGGGAGAAATAAAAATGCACATTTCAAAATTGCATTCAGTATAAATACCACGGTCAACAGTGAACTTTAAAATGAAATGTCAACCTGGGCAATAGCAAGAAGGTAATGAAATTTAGATTATTAATATACCGGTGACATCATCATTTAATTTTAATTGTCGCAGTTGAAATTTATAGTTTTTGGAGAGGGGGAGAATGGTCAACCCTGTAATAATTTTGTGGTTTATTTTACAACACTGCCAGTTTCTCGGGCTGACAGCCTCCAGTTGTAGGATGGTTGTCAGAGGAACTGGAAAGCGTATGGAAGGAAGAGAGCATGGCCATATCGAGGCATTTGCAGGGAGGGACTGAAGAAAGGAACAAAAGACCTTAGTTGAAATAGTGTGAGTCCTGGCCAGAATTAGAATTGGGCCCCTCAAGAATACAAGTCTAGAGTGTTACTGCTACATCAGAGTAATTTGATAATCATTTTAGTAGTATTAGATATACCAGAATTGAAATTTCTGGATTATGGGGTCCCCACATCAGTGCCACCATTATACATTTGGCATCAGGAACTAGTTTCATGTATCTGACCATGGAATCAAGTAAATAGTTTTGAGGAAAACCATGTGGATGGATGGATGGATGGATGGATGGACAGTTGGATACAGCCTTCTGACATTTACCATTTTAAGTGTATGTTTTGCTTAGAAGCTAAGTCAGGTGTCAGAGAGTTGTAGGTAGTAGTGTGCTGTATGATGTTTTTCTACATATTTAATATCTGTTATGTATAAGAATGTAACATATACATAGTTCCCTGCTTTATCTAATTGACAATATTTTGTTTAAAGGCAGGAAGAATACAGTGACAAAAATCGTCAAAAATGTCACGGGATCGAGCATCACGGCGTTTCTACCGCATGGAAAGCCAAAATGAACTCTTAGCTTTTATGGATAAAGGTGAGATGGCCTCTATCCAGAACCGCTGGACTTTTGAAGCTGCATGGGAAGTTGCTAATAAAGGTGAGAAAATATTACAAAAGACTAACAGAATTCTTGTATTGGGACACACGAAGTATAAAATAAAGTGCATTCTTCCTGATCAACTGATATACTATGAACAGTTCACAAAAAGTACAAATTTACTGAAGTATTTGATATATTATACTTAATTTATATAACTGGTATGATTAAATACACTTAATTTTGTTGCTTCTAAAATTTATTTCATTATGTGAACTTTATTATTTCATTATGTGAACTTTATTATTTCATTATTAATGAAATTGGTAATGGAGTCATCAGTCAGTGGTTTAGCGGTATAGTACTGTTACTTTAAAACAGGTCACCATTGTTTCGTATGAAATCATGAATCGAAAATTAACCTCTAATGAAATACTCTATTCTCCGAATGCATTTTTTTTGTTTTGTTTTGCATACCTTATTGATTTTTATATTCATTAATTGGTGATGTAAAACTATTCTTAATGTTGTCATTTTTGGTTTTAAGGGGTGTTTGCTTCATTGTCTGTTGAAGTTTTCTTTTCAGCATACATTTGAGTCACCACTTTCAGTAGAATGAGATTGAATGAGATGCATCCTGATATAAGGGGCTATCCACTTTGCACACTCCCACCTGTGCTTCCACTGTGAGAGATATATCAGGTCATGATCACTTTTCACCTTGGACAGCTGCATTCATCACAGGCATAGACTCCTCCCCCTCGGCTCTCATTTCAAAGAATGAAGAGGGTTAGGGAAGCATTTACAAGTAAAGAGGCCTTAAGTGGAGTCTGAATGGAAACTTGTTGGATTTGCACTGTGTGTACCTTGTTTATTGTATGTACTCCCCCCCCCTTCATGCATAGTCTTTCCTTGTCTGTATCAGTGTAAGATCTACTGCCAACAAGTGAACATCCAATTGCAGTGAAATATTAATAATAATAATACTAATATTAAGCCACATCTCCATATGCCTAAATCACCCTGAAGATTAAGACTGGCATGTACTCCAAAACACTGGAACAGCTTCAATTCATGAAGCAGCTCAACCCTAATGGACAAATTATACATTGGATACATGCTGTGAAAATCTGTGGATGAGAATATTGTTGCGTAGCCAATCACAGTAGAGATGACATACTGCAGAGTCAGAATTAATTTATCTTGCATTTCGCTGAATAATTACAACATGAAGAAATGGGTCTTATTGGGATCTGTACTTCATCATATGCCACTTTTTTATATTTATGAGGGAGCCAATGAAGTTTAGTTAAATATTCATGTGACGTACTGAGTTAGCAGGCGCCAATGTTGGATTTGAGGCTGTCACGGCAGTGACTGAAGACTTATGTCTTCTGAGATATAACACTGTGTAGTCTGGTGAAAATCAGTTAGTTACCTAATAGATCAGAGAACAATCGGAAGTAAGTTGTTTTTCAGGACGTTACATTGTGTAGTATATGAGTATGTGTCTCTTGTACGCAACACAACCCAGCAATCCTAATTAAATGTCATCATTCCAGTTAAGTGCTTAAGATTTGTGTCTTGAAGATCAGTGTGCTGTATGTTTGTGTGTATCTGTGTGTCTGATGCCCTTTCAAATTCTTAACTAGTTAAGCAATTTTCGTGAAAGTTGATGTAAATTTTATGCCATTAGAAGTTACTGCTACAATCATTAATCACTATATCGTTTACACATCAAACTTATAAGGTAGAAGCAAAATTTAATTTATGGTACTGAAATGATGACATATATTCAGCTTTTTCTGAGGTAATTTTTTTATGTAGAATGTGAAGAAACAATATGGAGACCATGCAGAAATATTCTTTAGCTCTTGGTTTGGTGGAGTTAGGCATGTGAAATTTGGTAGAGTTAGGTCATAAACATTGCTGCACCATATCTCAAGCGGTTAGTCGCTGGCTTCCCACTGCGGCAGCCCGGGTTTGATCCCGCTGGGGCAGGTTTCCCCTCTCAATCTTCATTCCACCAGTTGCTCCACAATCACCCTCACCTATCATCTGGGGCTGGTACAATAGGCCAGAAGTGGCCGCAGTACAAGGGACTTAGTCCCACCCCACTAGCAATAAAAGAAATAGATCATAAACATTCCTGCATATTATATATGGAATATTCTATGTAAATCAGCAGTTATAAACATGATGATGGTTTGAATCTCTGAGACCATATCTACACTTAGTAATTAGTTCTTAAGGAAAATAAAGTGAAATAACAATAGTAATGGATCTGTGGAATTAAAAATCTTTGTAATAGGAGAGTAGATTGTGAGTCCTGCTCAGAACTCCTTATTTTAACATTTGTTTACCAACTTTACCTCCGTTTCATGTATGTTACATGACATGGTGCTTAGGTACAGGAATAACTTCCTATATATTACTTATGAGCCAATACATTATAATATTAATGTTTCAGTTGGAGGTATTTATACTGTAATTCGATCAAAGGCATATGTATCAACAGAAGAGATGGGGGATCAGTACTGCTTGCTGGGTCCATACAAAGAGCACTCAGCTCGAACAGAAGTTGAGGAATCAGATTTCACTGGACCCTTATACACAGCTGTCAGCAAGATGAGAGAAAAAGGATTCAAGGTAGAAGCCCTAATGTTATATAAATCTGAATCCCCTTGTACAGGCTATTCCTGAGGCAATTGTTTGCAGAATTCTGATGTAAAAGTACCAAAAATTTCATCATAAAAAAAGTTGGATATAAGATCCTGTTCCGAACTGATACATTCAGTTCATATCCGCACAGTCTAAATCCTGTTTTAATATTATCTTTCCAACTGTCTCTCAGTTTCTGAAAAACTTTCTCCCACCAAATTTTGCATGTGAGGTGTAAGGTTCCCATGGTGGTGAGTGTCAGTACTTTGGTCTTCAGGAACACGATGTGCTGTAGTTTTGTAGATGGGTATAAACATTTAGGAATAACCTGCTGCCCCTATCTTCAGGATACAAGATAGAGGCAGCATATTTCTCAGAAATGTTGGCATTCATCTACCAAACTTCTTGGAGAGACATCCCAGAAGACTGTAATCTTCTGGATGTCTTCTTGTTATTCAGTGATGGTATCCATTGCTTCATGTTTCATGGGTTCAAATTCTGTCACAGTATATTTTCAGTGTTTGGCCTCCCCTCAAAATGAGAGCCCAAGTTCCATGCCCATATAAATCAGTGGATAAAATATCATTTTATGTTACTTAACTTTAATTTTAATTTTGTATAAAGGGACAATAAAAGGTATTTTGTACTAAGTGGCAGGATGCATTTATTGGCTCTTAGTTTCATCATAAATATAATTCTTTATGTGTTACTGTTTTTTCTCCGTGCCTTGACTACTGATGTTATAGTTACATACAGAGTGCCTGGATGAAAGGTATCCAAAATAAAAAAAAAAAGATCTGTTTTGGACACTAATTGTCATACACATATCTGGTTTATGTCATTGGACACAAAAACTCTGAAAGTTTTTTTTTCCATGCCTGACTTGCATGCACGCAACAGCTGATGACCTTCAGCGAACTCAGTAATGATGTCAACACCACAGGAACAGGTTCAGTGTTTGTTGTGGCTAGTAGAGTTGCAATCTCTTACGGCTGTCCGGCATCATTTTAAAATGCAATATGGACGTCAGCCTACATGGAAAACCATTCAGTTCTGGGACATGAAACTGAGGACAGCAGGTAGCCTGTTGCATGTAACATCTCCTGGAAAGCACGGACCTCTGAAGAAAATGTTAATCGCATTAGAGACGGATTCCAGCAAAGTCTGCGCAAATCCATTCATTCTTTTATCTTGCAGTTACATACAAATTCCACATTCAACAGTGCTACACAAAAGGCTCCTCCTAAGAGCGTACAAGATTAAAATGATTCGTGCACTAAAACCGAGTAACCAAGTCGCATGCACAAATTTGGCTGTTGACTTGCTGGAAAGAATTGACGCATCACCCGATTTCCTCTGCCAAGAGTGCTTCTCGGATGAGGCAACATTCCATGTCAGTGAAGGTGTAAACAGGTACAACTGCAGGATTTGGGGCAGTCAGAATCCACCTGTCACATGTGAGTTAGAGAGAGGCAGCCCCAAAGGGAATGTGTGGGCCAGCTTAATGCGCGACAAGTTGATTGGACCATTTTTCTTTACAGAAAAGAGTGTGACCGGACATTCATACTTGGACATGCTGGAGCTGCATGCACTGCCCCAGTTACCACCTCGAACTATCCTCCAACAAGATGGGGCATTGCCACATTTCAGCCACAATGTTAGGCATCAACTGGACAGAGAGATGGCTGAAGATGGATCGCCAGAGGTGGACAAGTCGCTGGCCTCCTAGGTCACCAGATTTAACCCCACTGGATTTTTTCCTGTGGTGTTATGTGAAGAACATTGTCTACCAGGTTAAGATCAATGACCTTCAACACTTGAAAGCCTGCATAAGGGATGCACTGTGGCTATGGTAACACCAAACATGCCTTAAGCAATGTGGAATGATGTCAAATATTGTCTGAATATTTGTCATGCCACCAAGGGAGGCCACATTGAAATTTATTGAGAAAATTATATGGTCACAAAAAACCGATGGTTTCCCTTTGTAATGTACATAAATGTGTGTAATAAATGCTTTCTAAGATATAATCGTTTTATTTTGGATACCTTTCATCTGGACACTCTATAGTTTACAACAAGTACAGTACAACCCCCATTTGGTGTTTCTGAATTTAAGGCTTTCTCATTTTACATTCAATTTTTAAAGGTGCATCTCTAGGTATACACTTACAGACTATGTATGAAATATGACAGTATGCAGCGCGTTACAAATATATGCTTTAGAAGAAAGAACCCAAGGCTATAGAGACAAGTGGCATAATCACATCTAAAATGGGCTCTTCAAGATTGACCCAAAAAGTTAGGAATTAACAGCCAGATGGAGAAAGAAGTGTTATAGAACCGTGAAGATAGTGGGAGGATGGTCTGTGACCTGAAACAGGCTAATAAAGCCTACCTTGAAGTAGCTGATGATGAATGTTCAATTTAAATGATCCCAAGTGTGGTAATTTCAGTGTTTCATCCCTTTAATTTTTTCCTCAGTTTAGTGTTCAAATCCTCTGCTTCCAAGGACACCCTAAATATCAATATCACTGTATTTGCCTGTAGATAATTTTTAAAGCGTCTGCTTTTCTGGAAGTGTTAAAATCTGATGGCATTTGTTTATATTCCAAGAATATTCTTTGTACTCATTTCTGTTAGAGGCTGAGTCGACCCCAGGGCCATAGTGTGGCTGGAAGGATTAGGTCAATTGAGAAAATCCAATGACCTCATCAGTACTTGAACCCGCAGCCTTCTGGCTTGTAGCATTGTGCCTCAACCAACTACGCTATCACACACCCCAATGATACACAGTGCTCATAAAAAAGAAGTTTTGCTTTCTTGTTCCATGAGATGTTAGGTTATTATATCTGTGGCTATGAAGACTATTCTTTGGGATGTGATGCCATGTAGGATTATAGAAGTTAACCAACATTTTGGAGATACATTAGTAAACTTCAGCAGACAACACTGAATCACATTCCAGAATTCTTTGTAATCTTGTTACATTTACACAAAATGTAGTTATTACTCTGATGTTATTAACTTCGGATGTTTTTTATATGTAGATCCACACAGGAGCATGGCTGGTAGATGGAAACCCTCAGATCATCCTTTTTGATATTGGATCTGGTGCATGGAAACTGGATGAATACAAACAAGAACTCTGGAATAAGTGTAACTTGGGCATCCCGCACCTTGACATTGAAGCTAATGATGCTGTAATTCTTGGCTACATGGTGGCACAGTTTATCGAAGAGGCATGTTGTATTTATACACTTATGTAGTTGTTATAGAACAAAGATTATTTGGCTGATTACAGAATAGTTTCAACATTAGTAGGAGTTAATGAGTGGTATGCAACAAAATATTGTGTATGTAATGGAACTCTGATATTTATTTATTAAAATGTCCACATTTAGAACTAATTTAATCCTGTCCCATATTAATATGGACATCATAGACTTTAATTGTTTCTTGCATCGTGTTGTGTATTTAGTCAATATTAGAGTCAATTTTACTGACCACACAACATATTTTTTTATTATTATTACACTACATGTTTCGACCTCAAGAGGTCATCCTCAGGTGTACGAACACAGCTGTGTAATTACACACAATGACATTCGTCTTTTCACTTATTCGATCCTGTATCTTATTCAGGCTCACGCTCAATAATATATCAAGCTCCTCTCACAAAACTCATCTTCCATTCAGGCAAGTGCCGTACTGATCACTTTTGTCATAACCCCAGTATGCAAAGCAAAAGCAGTTGTTACAGTATTCCTGAAGATTGAGAGTGAAAAATTAATGTTCAAACTGAGGTCAAGAATTTTTTCTCAATTCAGACTTGAAAATTGATAATTGATAGCCAAAAGACTTTTCTTCTGCAACACTGTCTATTCATCTTCTGGTAATCTTACTGATATCAGGGGAAGAAAATGAGTGCCCTAGTGTGTTTGCAGGTAAAGTTGAAGTGTACTGAAATAAAATTTATATTGCCCAGGCTTTGTCATGATTTTTCCTCCTCTTTAAGTTTTACTGATGTTTAGTTCTCATTTTGTGGCTGTTAAGGTCAAATAATTTTTATATAAAAGCATTAGAAAATTCTTGAAGAAAAATAAATTCAGAATGATATGAATGGCTTAAGTTATATGCATTCATGTAGGTCTGTATTTAGTTGCTGGGATCTATGTGTGCAGCTACCTCCCTAAATTATCTGGGAGTATGACATAAAGAAAATGTTTTATCTGACCAGATGTTCTTTCAAGGATCAACATTCATATTAGCAAAATAATTTATTTGTGACTCTGTATGTTAAACTATAGTTTTTGTTAATTGATATTTTACTTCCCCCAGCCTCCTGAAATGAAACATTACTGCATTCAGCCTATAAGAGTTTTTGTTATTGTTCAAGATCTGAGAATGTTTATACATACTTATGACTTATGACTTATGACTTATGACTGAAATTGTTCATACATAATTTTACAGTTCCGGAAGGTTGCTGAAGAATATTCAGATTATGTGCCAAGAATAGTGGTTCACTTCCATGAATGGCAAGCTGGTGTTGGCCTCATAGCTCTCCGTACTAGACATATAGATGTGGCAACAGTGTTTACAACACATGCAACTCTGTTGGGACGTTATTTATGTGCTGGCAACATAGACTTCTATAATAACTTGGACAAGGTATGTTACACTGTTTTAGAGGCAAGTATCAGTAGTGCATAATGTGGAGATCTTACTATTATTCAGCTGCAGCTGTCTTACCACGATTTGATTTCATTCACATAGCACTGTGAACCTTCCTGGTCCTTGCCATTTAGATGTTATCTGTCAAACTAATGATGCTGTATTTATTTGCATAATTAACATACTGTTTTATCCCGGAATTCATCTGTTTAAGATGTTTGGAAAATATATGAATACCACTTTTCAGAGCATAATTTTAAGCATTAAACTGATGAAGAGCTTCATAACTTGTACTCTTCTCCAAGTATAATTAGAATGATGAAGTCAAGGAGGATGAGGTGGGCAGGGCATGTAGCATGATTGGGGGAGATGAGGAATGCATATCGGATATTGGTGGGAAAGGCAGAAGGAAAGAGACCACTGGGAAGACCAAGGCGTAGTGGGATGAGATAGGATGGGGTGGTATTGATTGGATTGATCTGGCTCAAGATAGGGACCAGTGGAGGGCTCTTGTGAACACGGTAATGAACATTCGGGATCCATAAAATGCTGGGAAATTCTTGACTAGCTGCAGAATTGGCGGCTCCTCCAGAAGGGCTCGGCTCCATAAGTAAGTAAGTAAATATAAAACTGAGGCAGTCACCTGCTGAATGCAGTGTGACAACAGTAGGTATATTCCTGCATACAGACGTGATTCCTTGGTGAACACTGAGATGAAAATTCCCCTTGTTAAAATTTCAACCAGTACATAATTTAAATGGAGTGCAATTTGGGAACACAGTAAGGATATTCATGCCTACAGACTCCATCACATAATTAATTTCTTGAAGAACAGTGAGATGAAGATGCTCCTTCATAAAATTTGACTGATACATAACTTTCGTGGAAAAAGTAATTAAAGTTTAGTCTGGTGTGTCAACATAGTATGGTTATTTGTGCCTGCAGATTCCACCACACAGCTCCTTGATGAACACTGAAATGAAAAAGTCCTTTGATAAAATTTCAGTCATTGGATTGTTTGTGTGTAAAATTGAATTAAAGTTGAATCCAGTGTGGCAATGGGATAATTGTTCCTGTGGGCTCCACCATGTGGTTTGTTAACACTGACATGAAAGCGCCCCTTGGCAGTGTTTCGACCAGTGCATAAATTTTGCGGAAAACATGTCTGAAAATTGTCCATATCATGTTGCTATAATGCATTTAACTTTAATTTTATTTTTCATTAATGTTATGTGCCATCCTGAATTTTGTAAAGTCTAAAAATATCCCTCCCCACACCAAAAAATGTCATATATAAAAGTAGGAGTGTATAAACCGTGTGGAAACATAATTATGCAAGAAAGTACAACACACTTGCTGTTAGTTGTTCTAGTCGGTAAGTTACTTTCATGGTGATTCTGATGATTAGTGAATATGAGATGTGACCCAGGAATTCCCAGACAGATTTCTCTTGAGCTTTATGCCAATGTGGGAAATTTTGTAGTGAACAGACATTTCTGTGGATTATTATTGGCCATTCTGTAATGAACTGTGATCGTGCTTGCAGTTTGCATGTTTAGTGATCATTTTGTATTAAATCATGATTATATATTAATCATAAGAAATGGCCTGCAGTTCTCAAGAGCTGATCACAAATTTACTGTTAAACTTGGAAAAACTAGAAGCAAAGACAGGGGAATAAAGGAATTTGCCTAGCTTAATAATGTCAGAATGTTGCCCCAAAACTCATTTATTTTTAAAATGACTTCAGACATCTTGTTGCAATGACTTCTCATGTCCATTTTCAGACTTCCTTTGTTTGTATTGTATACAACAAAATGCTTCGCATGAATTCCAACATCACACTCCCTGCATTGAGTCAAGCATTTGACATGACAGACCCTGCACCTTGTTTACTTGTTCCGTGATTCCATGAAGTGATCAATGCAGTTGTACCTCTATATCTACATTTTGGTCTATCAGCGCTTCTTGCTGAGCACCGTTTGTTGACAAGACCGAGTCACAAATTTTTCAATGAAATTCCAAATGGTCCAACTCCCCCCCCCCATGTGGAGCTACCAGGCATTCTATTCTGTTGGCAGCAAGATCATTACGAACACCATTTGCCTATTCCAATTAAATTTCTTGATGTATAAGTGGTGCATACTCACTAGGCAATAAAATGCCAACAGGATACAGGATCGAAATAAGTGGAAAAACGAATATGATTGCGTGTGATTGTGCAACTGTGTTCGTACACCTGAGGATGAGCTCTTGAGGTCGAAACATGTAGTGTGACAATAATAAAAACGTGTTGTGTGGTTGGTGAAATTGACTCTAAGGTATTTACATTGTAAAAGAAAATTGTTAGAATCATGATGGGTGTCAAATCCCATAATTCCTGTAGAGATCTAGTTAAGAGACTACAGATCATAACTTTGCCAAGTGTTCTAATTTCCTAAAGGAAAGGTATATGCTGGGTCCATACCTTTTTGTACAAGTGGATTCTAAAGGGTTCTGTTGATGTATAATACTGAGAATTACTGGGTGTAACGCCGTAGTGCGGGGGGGCGTGGAGGTACCCCTCCTTGCCACCACAGCTTACGCTGTAAGGAGTTAACACCATAATCCTAGCTTACCCTCAGCTAGGATTCCTCTGTTTCTGGACTTCCTTCTCAATAATATAGCTGCCACCATCTATTATCTCGTACGAAGGTTGGTGAAAATACTAAGAGAGGTGATGAAAGTACTAAGGGCCGGTAGCGCGGTAGTCGAGCGTCCTCTGTGGGCTGGCCCTTTCATCACTGTCACCTCTTATTATTGGCGTAGAGCGGGCGTGTCAGGTCTGACCCGCCTCTACCTATCATCTGTCATCTCTAGGGTGGGAACTACCCCCTGACATACTGTCATAGCTCCCTCTTGACAACCCTTCATATAGTCTGCAGGTTGCAACATATTACATTATTATTATTCTTAAGGGGGCATTGATACCAAGGCTACTAAACGCTGCCTGCGTGGCGGGTGCCTATCCCTGTCTAGTAGTACCTCCCCTGAATTGTGGTTGCATTCGGCTGCTGTTGCCTTTCATTTTGGTAGGATCCTCGGGATCGGTCGTGGAAAGGTGATTTTGAGGTGTGAATCACAATCCCGGTACATCCTACTCTAACTACCCTGTCTATTTACACTCTTATTTACATTATTTACAATATTAACAAGACCGACCTACAGTCTTGTCTGCATAGGGTCTTTACTTCATCCTATGCTTCCTCATGTTCTCCCTTAAAATTATCCTCCCGTAAAGTTATACATATTAATAGCCCACATACTATATTTGTCACTACACACTACCAGTAATCTTAACACATACACTATAACACAGACATATTGCCGGACTATCTTCCTAGGCAATTACTTGTTACATAATTATTACTCTCCGCTAAGGGCTCGCCGAGCACACTGGAGTTTGCTTTCAATATTTTCCACACACTTTTATCAACAATAATATTTAACAACATGGCTTACATGAGTAAACGTGACTTACTTGACATAAAAGAATGCAGGCCAACTTCCAGCACTCGTCAGACCCATATTGAATAGTGCCTCCGGCTGACAACTGAATATTATCTTTGAGATTAGATCCCTAAGTCTCCTAAATTCGGCAATTTATATTATTAACTTGCTGAATCGGCTGTTAGCGAAAGAGGGAGGTTAACTCCCCTTTTTGTTCTCAATTCCCAAAGTTATATTCTAATTGGTTATTCCCTGGGGTTGTGGGCGGGCCGATGGTGTCTCATCGCTGTGTAAATAATAATATTATTCCCATCTCCAGTGGCCCCGTAGCAAAGCTTCTTACTTATGTGATTACGCATAAATGCTGATCATCTACATTCTTAACCTAGTTGCCTTAGTAATGGCTGCAAAACACTTTTCGCAAGTCTCGATATTTAGGTAATGCCTTACAATTTCCAATCTCAAAATTGAGACGCAACACTGGGATTTTGTATGAAGTCCAAAAACCCAGTAATTTCTGACTGTTATACACCATTATCAGAACTCTTTAGAATCTACTATTCCATAACATGTTTACCAGTGGAAGCATTAAAAAGAATTCTGACTCTGTTAAGAACCAGCTTTTGTTTTTTCCCAAAAATTTCTTGGTGTGGTGAGGAATTATTTGGTTAATGTAAGAATTGTATATGCAGATTTGTAACCCACTAAATTAAGAAATCAACAAGTGTGCTGATATTCACTAACCTTGTATCAGTGAGTATATTTACATTATAAGTGTACCTGTGTCTGCTGTGGCAGTTTTCTGTGGATGAGGAAGCTGGAAAGAGACAGATTTATCATCGCTACTGCATGGAGCGAGCAGCATCTCATCTTGCACATGTGTTCACCACTGTGTCAGAAATTACTGGCTATGAGTCTGAACATCTCTTGAAAAGGAAACCGGATGTCATCACACCAAATGGATTAAATGTGAAGAAGTTCTCAGCAATTCATGAATTTCAGAATTTACATGCTATCTCAAAGGAGAAAATCCACGAGTTTGTTCGAGGACACTTCTATGGGTTAGTTTTCTTCCAGCTGAAGTACTATTTGAGATAGTGCATTAACATATATTTCCTGTACTTACTGATAATCAAATTATAGTGGAAATACAAACTTATTACAAACGATAAAACAATTCTATCCAGTGTGATTTTTTTTTTAACTTTTTGTTATTTAAGTTAAAAATTCTTTAACCGAATAGGTTCGTGTCCCTTGTCCTTTCGTTACAAACATTAGTGCATGGGTGAGGCTGAATGAGAAAAAGCCTTAATACAATACACGATGAATAAGTAGTTCACTGTGTGTGTGTGCGTTTGTGCACATGTGCATGCAGTTAGTATCAGCTTTCTCACTCTATGATTTTGCCTTGTGTAGCATTCAGAATGGAGAGAACAAAGCTTGTCACATATTAATGTGAATATTACAAAGTCATCTAAATTTCAGAAAAATGTCTCGCTCTGCTCTTATTAAGAACAAGGAAAACAAGAATACAGAAACACTCCTTTATATGCCAGATATGTATGGCAAGACAATATTATATTTCAGCATCCTGTTACACTCACACAATATATATTGACAAATACCATCTTAAGTGCAACAATTTTATTGTAGTTTTTACTTCTTTTTCCTCCTCCACACTACATGTTTCGGCCCTAAATGGCCATCATCAGGTGTGTATTACTCACGTAGCTGTTACACTGCTTGTTAAAATTTAAAATCACCAGTCTTTCTAATTGTATAAAATCTTTGTTAATCTACACGCGTCGATTTGATTTTTAACTTTAATTCAAGTTAAAATGTCTATAAGATTATATGTCTATAATTAAAAAATTTGAAAAAGAAAAAGAAAAAATTTGAAAAAGAAAGAGAACAGAGATATTATAGACATTTTAACTTGAATTAAAGTTTTAAAAAGTGCTAATTTAAAAATTAAATCGACGCGTGTAGATTAACAAAGATTTTATACAATTAGAAAGACTGGTGATTTTAAATTTTAACAAGCAGTGTAACAGCTACGTGAGTAATACACACCTGATGATGGCCATTTAGGGCCAAAACATGTAGTGTGGAGGAGGAAAAAGAAGTAAAAACTACAATAAAATTGTTGCACTTAAGATGGTATTTGTCAATATATAATGTATGGCAAGACTGCTGCTCATGTAAACTTTTGATAATGTTTTTGAAATGCAGTTTCAAATTATAATAAGGACTCTTATACTCGTATTCCTTTTTGTTTTCAGGCACTATACTCGTATTCCTTTTTGTTTTCAGGCACTATGATTTTGATCTGGATAAGACTCTATATTTCTTCATCGCTGGCCGATATGAATTTGGAAACAAAGGAGCTGATATATTCATTGAAGCATTAGCTCGATTAAACCACTATCTGAAGGTAAGTTGCAGAGTGTAGTTGGCTTGGCTAAGCTCTAAAGATCATGTTATGTTTTGGGGCCATGAAAAATGTCATTCTGAATTTTCACAATAAGGTAAGCAACTAGCAGGACTTTGATCTGGCCATGTGGACCGTGTAGCTGACAGTTTGAATGAATTAATTGAAAGAAAAGTGTCAGTTACACATAATGTCATGCTGACTGAACAAATTTTTGTGGAATGTAATGTCATGTGTCCTTTGCTAAACATTATTGATTTATTTAATTTTGGTCCACATGAGAAATTTTGTTTTATTGCCTTCTGTGAGAGCCTAAGTATTGATTTGGCAAAGCAGATGTTCATATTTTGATGAAATGTAATATTTCAACTTACCTGGAATGATTTTTTTATTCTTATTCTTATTTCATATCACTAAATTGGGATTCCTACCTTTCTTGGTGGCCAAAAAATTATTTTGTAGTGTTGTCTTATTTCTGCTGGATTGAAAAAATGCTTTGTATATATTTGGTAAAACATTAGATTAAAGAGGCAGCTAAAGTTGCACTTCAGTTAGTTTGCAGAAAAGATATGCATGAGTGCTTCCAGCAGTAGTGTAGCTGCAGGTGAAATGTGTGGAAAGGAACTACACTTGGATGTCAACTTATGACCTTTGCGACTTACGACCACAAAAAAAATGAAAAATAAAAGATGATTAAAATGTAAAAGTTTTTAAAAATAAATTATAAATATGATAAAAATATTAGGAAGGTTAAAAAATGCTGTTAATAAATATATGGCTGACCTACAACCAGATCAACTTACAACCTGTCAGTCAGAATGGAAGTCAGTCATAAGTCGACAACCAAGTATACTTAAAAAGATGATGTGCATTGAAACATATCATTATGATGGGTACAAAAATTCACAAATTTTTTTACTCTAATAGTGACATCAGTCCTGTGGTTTTGTACTTTGTGTTTCTCAAAAGTACTTTTCTTTTTGTAGTTTATTTTATGATGGCATCCAGAACTCACATTGTATACTGTCAGATTATAGGATAATAGTGAATTGTAAAGGATATGGAAGGAGCTGTCACGGCCTAATTCTTGGATGATGGAGATACATCAGGATGTCCTAGCACTTTAGCAGTGACCCGCACGGGACAAGCTGGCCTTAAGGAGAAAGTGGATGTAACGGCTAGAGAATAGTCGCTGCAAGAGGAGTAGCCGAATCACAAGACGCAATGAACAGAAACCTCGGAAGAAAAGGAACGGTGATGCACCAATAGGCTATTCGGGATGAACAGTCTTAAGGAGGAAGCAATTTGGCATGTTATATGTCGTCCATCGCTGAGCAACGATACAATTGAAAATTGTTGAGACCATTGTGTAGGAATATTCGTAACAATGAGTGTTCATTGTGTAACAACGCTCGGTAAACCCCCCTCCCCGCTAGGCTGTGATGTCACGCAACAGGGGAGTCCGTGCAGTGACTGTTGCTAGGCAATCAGTAAACATGATTTCTGTGTGGTCAGGGTGGAAGCTACATAATGAGAGTACTCGTCAGTGTTGATGCAGTATGAGTACGAGTTATGGGTAGTTGAGAGTGGTTGAAGCAAGCGAAGTGAACCAGGAATACAGAAGGTCAACTGTAATTTAGAAGACTTTATGTGTACGACGCGCCAGTCGATTATGAGGTGTATGTAAGTCAGCGATAGCGCTGTAATTTGAGTGTAATTGAGAGAGTGCATGTAACCAAGCTGTCAATAAATCCAATCATCCGAACTAGAACCCGTCATTTCGTCACGCGCACCCCCTACACATGACAGTACTATTCTAGCATTTCTCTGAAGGGACCAAGGACTTCCACAACCAACCTCAAGATAGTAAAGTTCCTGATCAAGATATAAACCAAGCTCCTTCCAAGTACAAGTCAGAAGCATTGTTGCTCAAATGAACTTACTCAGTTTATCACATGTGTCTCCTCAATACCTCATAAGATTTGTTCATGTAAGTTAAGTGAATGCTTTTTTGTTACATTATTTGGAATGTTTAAGCATAAAGAGGAGCGTTAGATGTTAGACATTATCTTTAAATACCGGCAGATAGTGAGGGACGTGGCATGAAAGACGATTGTTTTCCATTGGCTGTAATACTCTTGGACTTTTGACATACCACCAAATAATCTGTAAAAATAAAACAGTACTGTAGTTTGAATGTTAGGTTTATTATTAGTCGACATTTGTTAAATAGTGACAGACATTCCATTTTCTGAGTGTGGATTTTATTACACTGTCTTAAACAGTGGACAATATCCAACATGAGATGTTCACCTTTTCTGTCCTCTCATCTTTTGTCTTCTCAACCACCACAATATTATGACACGATCAGTATTATTATCTGACATTTCAGAAGAGAAATACATGAAATTAAAAATTACAATGACATATTAAGTTAGACTGCCACCACTTGAGATGATTTGAGCGACTACTCAAACATAGTTTCCTCAGTGTATGCCTGCTAATGTGAAAACCAGTTGCCTGCTTGAAATTGGTGATGTTTCTTGGAAGTTGTGGTTGCCATTTTCTTTGGTGTGTCCTTTCCCAAACGTGTAGAAACAGCACAGGAACTTTGCAGAAACTGCAGCCATGTTTCTACCAACAATGTTAAAATAAAATACACTTACAAATACTGAGTGTCATTTTATACATCCCAGTTCACAAGTTAGCTACATATTCCTTTTACTGATTATCCAGAGTTTACAGTTATCTGGGAAAAGTCATTTTTCATCCACCTTGGGTAAGTGAGAGTCTACCATAATTGAATCAGTCTGACACTATGCACGTTTTTCAAGTAACTGAAAATCCAGACACTATGGATACACTTCCAGATATATACACTTACCAATCATCATGCTTATCAATCACACCCAAAACTTGGATTAATCATGCTCTTTGTTGTTTATGCATCTTTTCCGCTTCATTATTATGGATAATCTGGAGTATATCAAAATGTAGGCCATTGATGGCCAACATCTACAAACTGGAGGCCCTTTTCAGGATCTCCATCTTTATCCTGGAGTAAGTATGTGTAGTGGTGACATTAATGGTTGCTACAATGGCAGCCAAAATTTCAAAAGCAGTTGTAGTTTCATTAAGGCAGATGACATTTCTGGATAGAAGTTTTACTAAATGTTTGTGTACTATTACTTTTATTGTTACAGTCCTCTCATCCCGATATCACCGTAGTAGCATTCCTCATATTTCCAGCAAAAACTAACAACTTTAATGTGGAAAGCTTGAGAGGACATGCTGTAACAAAGAGTCTTCGAGACACACTGAATGATATACAGCAGAAAATGGGCAAAAGGATGTATGAAGTATGCCTTAGGTAAACACTAGTTTTCTGTCAGGTTCCTGTATTGAATGCAGATCATAAATTTTTTTTATTGCTAGTGGGGTGGGACTAAGTCCATTGTACCAGCCCCAGCTGATAGGTGAGGGTGATTGTGGAGCAATTGGTGGAATGAAGATTGGCAGTTGAAACCGAAGTACTTGGAGAAAACCTGCTCCAGCGCCACTTTTTCCACCACAAATCCCACTTGACCAGACCCAGGATCGAACCCGGGCTGCCGGGGTGGGTAGCCAGCAACTAACTGCTTGAGCTATGGTGTGGCCTGGATACATTACATTTATATACAGTGAAAGTCTCAGTCGAGCAAGTAGTATTCCAAATTTGTATTTGGGAATCTCCTAGTTCAAGTCATAAACCAGAGACTGGCTTTCCTGTTTGAGCTGTTTTATGGTTTTTCTCAGTCCCTCCAGGCAAGTGTTGTGTAGTACCTCAACTTAGGCAATGATCATTTCCTTCTATGTCCTTTCCAATTCATTATTCAATAGTCATCATTCAACACTGTGTACTTTGAGCTACTGAAAGCATTATTCGAGTAAGTGCAGTCAACTTTTCAGTACTTCAGTTAGATGACTGCTGTATATTAACCCATCAAAACTTGGTGGTCATTTATCTACTACCTGCAGTAACAGTGAAAAAAACTGTATTTTGCTCACAGAACTGTTTATGAGTTTCATATTATTCTCAGAATATATATCAGTTTTTACCAGAGCAGCAACAAATTGATCTTTGTAATGTAGATGCAATGTAAGTAAGATCTGAAAGTTGTAGTGATGATATATTAATAAAATTATTGAATTTTCGGACATTATCCATTGTCCTGTTTTTATTTAAAAACAGTTTTTTGGAGATTGAACTCTATCTCCACAGGCTTTTACCCAAGGATGGAGACAGTTGAGTCTCTGAAATGTTGATTTTAAATAAAAACAGGATAAGTGATAATAAAGTTTTAACAGTTTATGTGTTGCACATTTTTAGCTGTATAGCTTCCCCATCTGATACACATTAAGATATTCTGCAAAAGTGGCTCATCTCTTTCTTATATTGTTTATAGTGGACGACTGCCTAACCCAAATGAACTGCTGCAGAAGGATGACATGGTGAAAATCAAACGCTGTATTTATGCACTGCAGAGAGATGGGTTACCACCAATCACAACACACAATGTAGTGGATGACTGGAGTGATCCTGTGCTCAATTCTGTGAGGCGATGTCAGTTATTCAACACGATTCATGATCGTGTAAAGGTGAGAAATTAGCTAATCACATGCTATATTCATAATTCAGGTTTAAGAGAGTGTGATTTAGTAGAACGCAGTAGTTTAACCCATAACATGCAGCATTTTAATTTGCTTTTGCTTGCTCAGGGCCAGAGCATTTTTAGATATAAATGTTCAGTTCTGCAGCTTCTCATAATAAAATCTGTGTTAATATATCTTTTAAGCTGTTGACTTCAAATAGAAACTGGATTGTTAACAAGGAATTCTTTACAAAGTTTTGAAGCAGCTGCCTTTATATACACAGATTTGTTTCTGTTCGTGTGCATCTATGTTGACAATATTCACACATTCTTTCAGTTTCATTGATAGTGGTGATAGAAAATGTGGCAGTGGCTGTATGATACAGTGACAGGCCAGAGGCTGGGCACCTAGGGTTCAGTTCTTGATGGGCAAGAGATTTTTCGCTTCTTCACTGTGTCCAATCCAACTCTGAGGCCCACCCAACCTCCCATCCAATTGCCGTGCCATAGCTCAGGTGGTTAGTTGCCGGCTGTCCGCTGCAGCAGCCCAGGTTTTCTCTCAGGTCAGGTCATGTGGTATTTGTGGTGGACAGAGTGACAATGGTGCAGGTTTTCTCTGAGTACTTTACTTTCCTCTGCCAGTTCTCATTCCACCAACTGCTCCACATTTATCATCTCTATCATCCGGGGCTGGTGCAATAGGCCAGGTAATGGCCGACATACCAAGTTGACAGTCTCACCCCACCCCAAGAACTACCACTTGACAAACTTCTTTATTAAGAGTGGTAGAGTTTCTGCATTTTTGTGTTTTCAGCCAGTAAGTTTGTATAATCAGCATAGATCCGAAGCTGATGGGTTCCACTCAAGTTCAGTCCCTCCTTATTTTCTTGAACCCTCCTAATGACATACGGTAAAACAAAAGTAAAAACTAAAAGGATATGATTTGAGGCAGTCTACACAACAATAAGTTCAGGAAATAAGAGAGACACTATCATGTCAACATCAGAACTTATTGTTGTGCAGGCTGCCTCAAATCATATCCTGCTAGTGAATTATACACAACAGGATGTATACCATAAAGATTACAAAATTGAAAAGCCATAATGGTAAAGTATAGTAACTCCAATAGCGGTGAGTATCCCCTGAAGATGGGCTCCACCGTAGTTCAAGCGGTTAGTCGCTGGCTTCCCACAGAGGCAGCCTGGGTTCGATCCTGGGTTTGGTGAAGTGGGATTTGTGATGGACAAAATGGTGCTGGGGTAGGTTTTCTCCGAGTACTTCGGTTTCCCCTGCAAATCTTCACTCCACCAATTGCTCCACAATCACCCTCACCTATCATCTGGGGTTGGTGCAATAGGCCAGAAGTGGCCACAGTACAAGGGACTTAGTCTCACCCCACTACCAATAAAAAAAGAAGTGTGACTCAGGAAGAATATGTCAACCTTGTTTCAGACATTGTTTTTTCAATCTCAGACTTTGAGAAAATTCAGATAACTGCTTCTGCTCTTCATATTACCACACAAGCTACCCTTCCATCAGAATTGTACATAGACATGACTCTAGAATAATTTTCTTGATACAGTGATTTGTAAAATCTTTTTTAGAAGGATAAAGGTAACATAGCCTCTGTGCTTAACTAATTAAGCACTATGTCATGAAAGTGTATGGGGTAGTGGATTTATAGATCCACATATTCTTGACTTCGGTACTGGTGCTTAACTTCACGCCTCAGCCACTTTACCCCTGTGGTAAGAGCCCCCCAGTAACCATTGTGTAGGAGGCTGGATGGGCCCGAGAGCCAGTCTGGACGTTGTAGAAAGGAGAAAACTCTTGCTCCTGTTGGTACTCGAATTTTGGCCAATCAGCTATCCTGCCTGCAGCCAGTTGCTATACAGACTGCGATATATGATTATAAAAGGGATAAATGGTGCACTTCAGTGCATTGTGAAAAGTAGCTAGCATTATTGTGATTGCAGTGAAAATATTAGTCCAGCAGAGACAGTTCTGTTCTTGTCTTGATTCTTGAATGTTTCAGATACTCATCTCAGTCTTGTGTTGAACTGAAAACACAGTCCTTTCACATGCCTAGTAATAAATAGTTTTACTTGATGGTATTAGTGTATTACATGCTTAGCCCTGGTGCAATTTTGATCTTTAGATTGCATATAATATGTGGTATCATTATGTTAATTTATTTGTTTCAATCAAATATAATTTCTAGATTGTATTTCACCCTGAATTCTTGTCATCTACAAACCCTCTGTTCGGACTGGACTATGAGGAATTTGTTCGAGGTTGTCATCTTGGTGTTTTCCCCAGTTATTATGAACCCTGGGGCTACACACCTGCCGAGTGCACAGTGATGGGTATCCCGTCTGTCACCACCAATTTGTCAGGTAAGCAGTAGTGATCAAGTGTAAAGCACACTTTTTAATCTCATCACCACCGCTGCCCCCACCACCACCACCGCTGCTGCCACCACCCCTGCTATCATCAGCAGAAATTAAAGAGTTAACTTTCAAATAAGAGACTCTTAAATTTTTAAATACCACAAACACAATATCTCACCTTCAGATCCGATCTTATATGGATTCAATATTATCTACTTATCACAACTTTGTTTCTATAAAAACCATTTTAATATTATTGTCTTCTCTTCCTTGTCTTCATGCTTCTCACTTCCTAACCAAAATTCTGTTTGTGTTTCTTATTTTCCCATTGCGTGCTACATAATCATGAATAATTCCATTCAGAATCTTACAATGTGACATCCTTTCCAAGATCACTTGAGTCTAATATACTGGTATATGCACACTCTCACCTGTATTGGCCCAAATGTATAATTAAATCACACAGCATTTATTGTAATATCTGTCACTTCTAGAACCAATATTATGCACCTATGCCATTTATCATGTACTGTCATGGTATAATGCAAGGAATACTTTGATCTTTTATGGTACCTTCTCAGCCGCTTTCTCAGGATATGTGGGAAAATATAATGATCATGAAAAAAATTGGTCTTTGATATTTCGATGGATTTACACTCAACTAATGGAATATACATACATACTAATTGGGAGCGCAAAATAATGATAACAATAACATGCCAATGTTCATAGGGCTAAATAAAACAATACAAAAAACATAGGTGCCACAAGAGGGAAATAATGCAGGAAAGAAAAAAGAATTATGTTCTCAAACGTATGTATTTTAGTGTGAACAATGAAAATGCAATATCATTGAAATATTTTGACTTAAGAATTAGTGAAGTGTGGCATTTTCAAAAAGTGAGCAGTTGCCTGAGTAAGGCTGAAATATGTAGCAGTTGATTGTGATTTTAATGTTGTATCAAATTAAGGAGAGATTATGAAAAGACAGAAGTGGATGTGTAGAATGATATTGAAGAGGTGAACTGCCTTCAGATGGGCCTTGTGGGAGGGGGTGGGTGGGGGGCAATGTTGTGATTTTCCTGAAAATTGGTGTGATGATTTTGATTAAATTTCAGAAATTTATGAAGATCATTTGACTAAATAAAACTGCATATGTGGTATCTTCCGGAAAATAATGGTATGCACATGACTGGCCAAAACACCAAGTGTTGATTTTGTTGAAACCAGCTTTAACTGCCAGACTGATTCAGTAACCAACAGTATTCTGTGAAGCAACAGTTGAATGTCAGTCACATAGGAGATAGTGTGTGCACTTTTTTCTATCATCCTTGTAAATATTGATAATTGAGGAAAGAATGTCAACGAGCAGTCACTTTTTCTCTGCCAAAAATCTGATTCTCTTGAAATATATAAAGGGTTTAAAAATCGTAGCTGAAAATAGAATTGTTTTGGTATTTGTTTTAGAATATTTTAATGTATAACAAAGACCAAAAATCCTCATTCCTTGAAATTTACTGTGTGGAACTTTAAGATATTAATTTTGTTAACATTCAATAATATAATCATGTTACAAACAAANCACATATACACGGTGCCAAATCCCAGAAGACTGCTTTCTTCAAAAATATAATGCTTTTATTGGAAGTTTGAAGGTTTCCTTTATGGTGTGGTTTTATACAGTGACCAATTTGTGGGACAGGTTTTGGTTGCTTCATGCAAGAACATATAGCTGACCCAATGAGCTACGGAATCTACGTTGTGGACCGACGTTTCATTGCACTTGAATCATCAGTGCAACAGCTGGCCCATTATATGTATGACTTCGCCAAACTCAACCGACGTCAAAGAATTATCCAACGTAATCGAACAGAGCGACTTAGTGATCTGCTGGACTGGAGAAACCTTGGAATTGTAAGTTGAGAAAAATGCTTAGTTCATGAGTGCAGCTCATCATTCCTCTGTGACTATTTGTGCATGTGTTATTAGCTACATATTTCATAAACACGTGTGTTTAACCCACAAATCAAATAAAGATGTGACATTACATAAACTACAGGGGTTATATAATGTCAAATTGAATAGTAATGTATTGATTGAATTTCAAAGGATGGAAAAGACAGCCCAGTAGAGGTTTATACACACCAAACTTTTACCTGGTCTGGCCTGAGAACCATTTTGCCCAACCTAACCTGAGCCCAAAGTTTAGCTTCAGGTATGTTACCCATACCTGACAAAAACCTGACTTCCTTTATCATGGCCTGTATTGAAGCCCAGTCAGTTTATAATCTGTCTTGCTGTTGTATTTCTTTTAATGCAAAAATTCCAATAATTTTTAATTAAATATTTAACATTGCTCCAAGAACACCTGACGTTATTTTGGTATTTGAGGACTTGTACAAAGATACAGGATACCAGATTTGTGAGGCGTTATCTCTGACCCTCTCTGGGATGGGGCAGTTGTGACCCTTTGCACGAAAATCAAATTGAGATTGTTTTTTGGAGCCTGACTGGATACTGCAGAAAAATAAAAACATTTAAATATTATCTCAGCCCACCAGTTGCACTGTCAAGAGGTCTATATATTAGCAGTGCATCAATCAAGTTAAATGTTGATTGAGTGACCTTGCAACATGCTCGTCATGCAAGCTGTTTTGTTCAAAGTAGATCAAATGTTCCATTTAGTTTTTGTAACAACTACTGTGATCAAGTGTTTTGTTTCCTTTTCCTATTTAGTATATTTGGTATGGAGTCGGTAAAGGAAGAAAATGTTTGCTTTAATCTTTAAGTGCCAAAGTGCCCTGTTCGGGCCAGTGATGAGTATGGTCGTCATGGCCAAAGTACCCTGTTTTCGCCAGTCGGGCATTTAAACTCTGCAAGTGGAAGCGCGCGCACACAGTGCTAGTAGAATCGCATGCACAGTCCTAAATATTTATTTTTAAATGTAGTAATTACCAGACAGACTCGAGTAAAACCATAATAGAGGAATTAAAATGATACCTAAGTGAACAACAACAAAAAAGAGTAAACATATGAGTTATGCCCAAACTCATCCATGAGCCAGTACTTTTATTGCAGATTCTGCAGATTAATGTGTTAAAAATATAAAGTAAAATTCAATGTACACACCTTTTTTCTTCTTATTTGCTTGATGTATATATAGGCTGAAATGAAATTACAGTATTTGATTTCAGTATGAATGCACAGAAAACAGATCAAACTCTGTATATCAGCCACAATACGACTGTCTGTTCATGACTCTAGAAAGGGCAGTAATCTCTCGCAGCTATAATGGAAGGTCTTAGCACTGAAGAAGGGACCCCTCTATCTTTCTCTTGAATTGCCATTCTTTCATTCTTCTGTCCTTTAGTCAAAAGATTCGAAAATCCGAAGAGTGTAAGCAGTGCTAGCAGAAGGCCACATGATTTTATTGCTTCCATCTGTTTTATGACACCAGGGACTGCTAAAATTTGTCAAGTGTTACAAACAGAAATGAGTTTATAATGCAGAACAACTCTGTGAAGAACTAGGAAACCATTTTTGCAGTACACATCAAAACTTAAAAAAAGGAGAGAGAGAGAGAGAGTATAACTCTTTGTACAAAAATTTTCAAATCTTCCGTTATAATATGCGACACTATGTTCTTTGCTGATACAAATTTAATTCCATCCATTTATCCTAAAAATTGAGTTAAGATACAGCATTTTTAAACACAATGCTTAAAATTGTTTAAGCACCCTAACAGGAACATACATTTAAACGCAAAGTAGCAACGGGCATTTAAATAAACTCCAGCCAGCTCAAGCTTACCACCATTTCAGAAGTCCGGTGTTTAAAGGTTAATTTCTGTTTCATAGTAGCGAAAACACAAGTAGCTTCAGAAACCCACAGCATGTTTCGTGAAGCAAACCGCGATGATGCGTGGAGTCAAACGATGACCTACAAATGGTTCAAATGTTTTAAAAATTGAAGAAGTTCAGCACATGATGATGAGCAGTCTGGCTGACCTCCAACTTCAAGATCTGAATTTCTGATTGCGCAGTTGAGAAACATTATCCATGGAAATCATCAACTGACTGATAAGTTATAGTAGAAGTTGGAATATCCTCATGGCATATGGTTTTAATGAAGATTAGGAATGCATTGGGTCCCAGGAAAATTTGTGCCAAGACTCTTGACTGATGATAGAAACAACGATTTTCCATCTCCTCTGGAGAGCAAATGACAATGAAAATCTTTTAAAAAATTTCATTAGAAGTGAGGAGGCATTGCGGCTGCTGCNTCCCCCCCCCCATCAAGGCATTGTGCATTATGAATTCACTCCTGAAGGTCAGACAGTTAACCAGGATCAGGAAGCTGGCTCTTCCATTATGATAATGCGCCTGCTCACACAGCAGTGTCAGTCAGACAATTCTTTGTGAAGCATTCAATTCCTACCCTTCCACAAACCGTCTTTTCACCTGATCTATCCCCTCCTGACTATTTTTATTCTCTAAACTCAAATTTGCCCTTAGAAGAAGAACATTTGAGACAGTGGAAGACACCATCACTAATGTGCCAAACGACTTGAAGGCAATACCACAAACATCATTTGAACAGTGTTTCCAAAAGTAGAAAAGGAGGTGAGAGAGGTGGATTGCTGCACAAGGGGACTGTTCTGAAGGGGATAATATTCAGTAAGTTCTAACTGAAGAAATGCATCTTTATAGACAAATTTCGGTAACTTTTTGAATGTACCTTGTACTTGAAGGTGATGAGTGTATATATATGTCTCAGGATTACTCTTATTGGCACTGAAATTGCAAGACTTTTGACTTAAATGTGAACTTCCAATTTTTGTGACATGATAACTTAAAACAGGCTGGTGTTTTACATGCTGAATGGCACCAATTTTCTCGTTAGTAGCTGTATCTTGTACTTCCAGAAATTATTTCAGTATTTCACTTTTATTTGGTCTGTGTTCATGATAATGACTATGTAGTCTTTATTATAATTGCAAACATAACTACTGTTAGTTCCTCGGAACTCTAGCTGTGGTAGAGGGGTCATACCATCTCTTGCGGAGCTGGGGGAGTAGTCTTATCAGCTTACGTCAGCATGGGTACTACCAGTTTTGAATGTAGCGTCTTGGACTGTGGTCAGGTGTATAGTATGTTGTTTTGCTTGTTAGTTTGTACCGGTCGTAGCGATTGCATTACGTGATGTTCGTGTCACTATCATGGCACACCGACTTGCACGGAACAATTCATAGTGAGGCCAGGGAAGTAATAGCTAACTCCTGGTCTCTGTAGGCAATGTTTTCCGCTTGGGGAGTAGCACTGAACATCACCACAGCAAGCGTACAGCTTTGCATGCTCCACAACAGCGTTTACCTTTCTGCGCGGCTAAAGTTACGAGGCACTAACTATAAACACTTGAAACACCCCTCCTTATCAGTTTTTTCTTTCGGCTGCTTTACTTCAAAGTAGCTGAAGTAAAATGAGACCAGACTCTTCCAGAAATACAGCAGTCCATAAGTACTATCCTGACGTATATTGTTCAGCACAGTCACAGAAGCTGGTTGAGCTTGTCATTGGTATTTTGGTCCCTCCTCTGTTAATCTCATTTTCTCTGACAGTGACTGAGGATTCCCAGTCAAGTTGCATGTGCAGTCCCATCATAACTCTCTTGTCAATTCGCAGTACACAAGTACAGTCACATCTCTGTATGCTGGTGGATATTTTTCTGTCACATGAATAAGATGAGTGGTACTATGAATGTGTGTGTGTGTGTGTGTGTGTGTGTGTGTCCCCTCCTAAATAAAAAGGAATGGCCAGATGAAACTGGAAATGGCCTCTATGAATTTCAGTTGCTATCATTTCAACCATGGCCAAACTCAAACATCATCAGTGGTACCACGCCTAAGGGTCGGGCTGAGGCCTCGTGGCCAGGCATGGGCCCATTCAGTCCTTAAGTACTCATGACATATTTCAAGATTCTTTGTCAACATTAGGATGGAAAAGGCTTTAGGAAACCACAAAAGAAAAGACATCAGCCAGAGCAACTTGTGATTCAACTGATACTGAAACTGGTTACCTGCAAAATGCAAGTCAGATACTGTGCCAGTCTGTGCTTGTGTCCATGCATGTCTCTTGTCCCCTTAATTTCACTTGATGCAGTTTTCTATATGATACATGATTTTACAAGCAACTGAACTGTTTCTTTGCAGTATTACAGACAGGCACGTATGAAGGCTCTTCAGAAAGTTTATTCTGACTTAGATATGGATGATGATGCTTCTGTGGGAAGGTTCAATTACCCACGCCCCATTTCAGAGCCTCCCTCACCATCTTCATCACGCCACACCACACCAGCAGCATCCCGGCATGGTAGTGATGATGAAGATGAAGTTGATGATGAGAAGGAGGTGATTATTTATTAGCTACATTAGCTAACAAATTAGCAGATGTTTTCTCTTCACCATTTTAAAAAAATGTGATCACATATTTACATAGTAAGAAAAATTCTTCTGGAGTTGTTTTTACATCACAGGTGCCATATTTACTTGCTTAACTTGTGTGTCTGCATAATTTATGAATCCTCAAATGTGGATGCCGCTCACAGTAGCCAAGCAGTCTAAGGCATGCACTGTCTTTGCTCGCTCGGAAGCCGAGATTGTGGGTTCGAATCCCACTCAGGGCATGAATGTTTAGTTTGTGTGTGTGTGCGTTTTTCTGTGTTTGTCTACAGGTAGAGGCCTTGCAATGAGCTGATCACTCGCCCAAGGAGTCCTACCATGTGTGTAAGATCTAGAAAAACCGAAGTGAACGGAGAAGTTCATGGAGGTAGGCCTAGGCCCACTGGGGCTGTAGTACCAAGGAAAAAAACACGTGGATAAAAGAAAATGTTTGTTGTCTCTTTTAATGTGTCATAAATAAAGCATGTTTCCTTTCTTGTGTTACTCTGACTGCAATATGTCAGTCATTTCCCATGACCTCATAGTGAGTAGAGCTATTGGTGGAGGAGGAAGCCAATTTGCTGTAATTGTGCTCATGAAGAAGTTCTTACTTTGAAGTAATTTTATTTTATTTTATGCTCTTTTAAGTACAGGAATTGTTATAGTTCCCCTGCATTCTTCAGGTATATAACCAGTTCCCAAGAAGCATTAATTAAACTAAATTACATTATCATTAGTGGAATGGTCCTATTTAAATTAAATCAGTATTTATTCCATGTGTGCAGGGAATTTTCTTATTTTTAAATTGTCTCATTGCTATCACTATCTTTTCTAATTCAATTTTATGTATATTTTCATCATTTTAGTTACTTGATTTATATTTATTTTATCTGTGTTTGTTTCAATTTCTTCATTATTTCATTCGCTGTCTCTTGGGGACCATAAATATTATACCTTCTTTCAGACTTTTATTTAACACATCCCTGTCTTTAATATTCTCACCTCCTTTGTCTTTCTCATGTATGTAGTATATGAAGTTCTGTTGGAAAGTTGCTGGACTAGGTCAAAAAAGAAATGCTTGCTTAACTTACTCAATTTTGGCTGCCATCTCTTTCAAAATAGTCTCCTTGAGAACATACACAGCAATCCCATTGTTTTTTCCATGCTTCAAAAGCACCGTGGAAGTCATTTTCCTTAATATTGTTTAGTACCACCCTCTGGATGTCAGACACTGTTTCAAAACGTCCCATCAGTTTCATTTTCTTCAATTTGGGAAACAAGGCGAAATCACAGGAGGCTAAGTCCGGAGAGTGGGGAGGATGGGAACAATAACCATGTCGTTAGTCACAAACTCTGGTTTTCAGGGATGTGTGGGCAGGTACATTGTCGTGATGACAGAGCCAGTTGTGGTCACGCCAAAGTCCCAGTCTTTTTCATCACACTTTTTCTATCAAGTGTCTCAAAAGTCACAGTAAAAGTCAGAGTTGACCGTAGTGTTAGGAGGAGCAAACTTGTGGTGAACAACAATGCGCATGCTCTTTATTGAACTCTGGACCTGCCACGCCTTTTTTATTTACTCTTGGTGAGTGTGGGCCATGTAACCATCCTTCGGTTCTGCTAGCTGCGGTAGAGCAATTCGACTCCTCTCAGGGCGTGTTGGCTGGCCACGACTTGGGTGATTAGTGGGGCTTTAGGCGTAGGGAAGTCACCTCAACACCAACTATATGGAGTCTTTATTTAATTTGCACTAATTAAATAGAAACAGCCCCGTAGTGGTACACTTCACAGATTCGTGGATGTAGGCTTACTTACTGTTCTGGGACGCACACTTAATAGTCACCACAGGGCGTGTTTACAGGGATCAGAACACGTGTACCCCTGGTGAAGGTAACTTTCAAAGTCCTCCTTGCCAAGCACCCTCTGAATGGTAAATATTTGCCCTGGTTACCCAAAATTCGGACAAAGGACCTCCCACTTCAGATGATGATTGGCTGGACCGGGCAGACTGGGAGGTTACTTATCATTCTCCTCCAATTAGGAAAGCGAATATCCACTAGTGTACAGTTTAGGGGTGAACTTCACCACCTGCTGCGTGGCTGTCAAACTGAGATTTTGGGGTAGCAGGAAATGACGCTGTAAATTTATGACTTCCCCTGTCAAGTTTAGAATTTCTAAAGAACTCGGCCTTGTTTTACGCATTAAATTGACTGATTTACGAATGGGCAGCTGGCTTCAAGCTTGACCCGAGCCGCTTGCTGCTTGTCTCAGGGGGAAAATTTCAAATTGTGAGGTGAAAGTGAGGAATTTCACAAAACCCTAACCATACACAAACATCAATTGACCTTCCCATAAACTGGACAGTTCCAGCTATTCTGCTGCGATGATTGTTGCTTCGTTTCTGGATCATAACCGTAAATCCAACTTTCCTCACCCATTATGATACTAGAGATAAAAGTTGGGTCCTCATTAAGCTCTCATAACTCAAGACACATGTTTACATGCCCACTGCTTTTGATTATTTGCCAAGAGTCGGGGAACAAACTTTGCGGCACTGCAGCACATGTTCAAATTTTCTGTTAAGATCTCCTGGCAAACTCCATAACTCATTCCAGCGGTATATGTGAGCTCAAGGATTGTTTGGCAACTACAGTCATGGATGAGTTACCAAATTCTTTCAATATTTTCTGTTGTTTTGCTGGTGCTTGTTTGCCCTGAGCATTCATCATCTTGAACTTACACTCGACCGCCCTTCAAGCATGAATGACATTCAGAAACTGCTGTCTAGCTTAAAGAATTTTCTCCAAAAGCCTCACAAAGCATTTCAAGGGTTTCGATAGTGGATTTACTGAGCTTCACACAAAACTTGTTGCGGACACATTGCTCAATTTTGCCACCCATCGCAGACAAAATGAGACACAAAGCCAAAAAAAAAGCATTTGTGTAGAAGCAATGCATGTTCACAGTGCAGTGTCATATGGCAGACTGATGCATTAGGCTTGCAAAAGTGTGACCTTGGCTTCCCCTCTCATCTTTCTGGTAGCACCTCGTATGTGAGGTATTGTGCATCATGAAGAATCAGTCTTGAGTTGCACTCCATCATTTATATATACATTTGTTTATTTAAATTCTTTAAAGAAGTTTGTCTTTTTATGTAGCCATGGCATAATTTTTATTATGGGATATTAGGAGACTTTTCAAGGTGTCCTCAGGTTACTAACTGACTGTTAAGCTTTGTCACTGATGCATCACACTGTCAGGATGGTACATGTTCAGGTCCATCAATCCTAACATTGCACTGGTGCCGTACCAAACACCATACAATTAAAATCTTGTTACCAGTGCCACAGTAGTGGGAGATTTAAATCCAATTTTCTAGGACAACCTTGATTGTCCTAGAAAATTGGATTTAAATCTCCCACTACTGTGGCACTGGTAACAAGATTTTAATTGTATGGTGTTTGGTACGGCACCAGTGCAATGGTAGGATTGATGGACCTGAACATGTACCATCCTGACAGTGTGATGCATCAGTGACAAAGCTTGACAAGGACAACCTTGATTGTCCTAGAAAATTGGATTTAAATCTCCCACTACTGTGGCACTGGTAACAAGATTTTAATTGTAAAATTATATTGTAAATTGTAAATAAAACTTTAATACTTCTCCACTGTATAATTTTTTCTATCAATATTTAATGATCGTGATTGTTAACTAGAACCTGCATACACCATTTTAATGGAGTTGTATTTTGTTGTACATTATTCAGGGGATCAGTAGAAACCAATAGTACTTTTAGTTGTATGAAATGAACTGAGGCTAGGTGCAGTGAAGGTATGATTTATTGTATTTCTTGTTTCTGTCTGCATTAGAATTTTTTTTTTTAATGATTATCTGTATTTCCAAAATTTGTAGCAAAATAAACCATCTCCATGGAACAGAATCCTTGAGAAGCTAGCGGTCACCCAGCTACTCAAGAAATCTCCCACATTTTATGGAACTTGAAGGGTTGTTACCATTTTCACAATACCCCATCAGTGGCTCCTGTCCCTAGCATGCATTGCAAGTTAAACAAAGGAAATAAATATCTGTTTTTTTTTTATTGTAACTCAGTTGCATATTTGGACCTAAGAAAGGGGTAGTAACATGAGGGTTGGGAAAACTACCTAATGATGATTTTTATAATTGTGCCTTTTACCATGTGTGTGTTCCTAGGTGAAGAAACAAAGGAAGGTGAGATGATTTATGCCTTTGTGAAATAACAGATGTATTCGAAATTTTGGTTGGAAACTCTGCAGGGAAGATACATACCACTTGCAAGACGTAGACAAAGTTTGGAGCATAATATTGTAATTGATGTTAAGGAAATGGGGTGTAAAGATATGGGTTGAATTGAGTGATTGAGGACGGGGTCCAGCATTTTTTCTGTCATTTTCGATGAAATTTACTTCTCAATGAAAATTAAAATTCTTGATGAGTTCATTAACCATCAGTTTTTCAAAGAAAGCCATGCCTCATAGGCTTATGAGTTGTGTTGTCGCAGTTTGTTCTAGAAGCTGTCACTTTCATATCCTTGAACTGTCAGGCCTGATAAGATTACTGTTAAATCTGAATGGAGTTTTCTTTTCTTGTTTCAGCTGGAAGAGCTGGGTGTAAATAACGTTGACCATGTGAGTCGATAAGCATCAGGTATTAATACCATGTAGAGCTTAGCAGAAACAGACCATTCTGTTTCTGTTTTGTTGCGGGATAAAATATTGTAAGGTGTAGTCTCTTGACAGATTTGTATTCTCCTTTAGTAGCCACATGTCTCAACAGACTGCAATATTTGCATACTGTTTTACAAAAATCGAAATATCAGCTACTTGGAATGAAACTGAGCTACTGGTTATTGACGGTTAGTATATATCTTTTACCTCACATACATTGCAAAAAGAAGCATAGTTCATATTTACTTATTCACTCTGAATTACATAGAATCATATGTACAGAATATTGGTTCATGTGTTCTGTTTTCTCAGTAATTTATTACCATTTTCGTTACTATGCTCAGATTTTAGTCTGAGATCATTTTGCTGCATGTCTTAATTAACACTTTCAGGCTCATATGAAAATTCATCAGATTACCCTTGCAGCCCAGCCATTTTACCCAGGGCACAAGGTTTTTCAGCTTAATACACGAACATATATAATAATAATCAGTATTTCTGTGAACATTTTAATATCGCCTAAACTGTTCTTCATATATGTTGTTTTAGAGTCTTCTCTCAACTGTGGAATGAACTATAGGAACAAACTGTGACTCTTGAAATACTTTGGAATGTCTGACCATTGGCATATATTAGAGGACAGATATCAGAAATTTCTAACCATGGGTCTGTGTTAAAATGGTGCACTGTGGGTATTTAAAATATAGTATAATGATAGTATTGCTGTGAAGTTTTAATGCATTCACTGCTATCTAGGTTGATTTAATAGTGTCAGAATCAGTTTAACCAGACTACATGGTGTTATATCCCACAAGATATAACTGTTCATAACCACCATCATGAGGACCTCAAGTCCTATGATGTAAGTCTGATTGGCACACCTCTCCTTACAATCTGAATAAAATTGTGATAAATTGCACCATGTATGAGCAGAGGTTACTTTGAAGGGTCATTTAAATCACTGGACATTACAAGCTTCCTACTATTTTATTTTTTCTTTCATTTTTCCCGCCCTTTGTCCTTTTTTATTTACACCACACATCCTTTTAGCATATGATGATAACTTGAAACTTATATGTATGAGATATGCAGTCATTTATGAGGTCAAAGTTTCTGGTGCACAGTAGAGCCTTTGTTTGTGTATGTGGGTTCTACCAAAGTACAGTCATGGCAAAAAGACTTTGAGAACCAACAGAAGAAAACATGGCAGAAGTTAGAGAAGACAATGAAAAAGGTATTTCAGAAACATCAGTTAACTTAGGTTAGCCAGAAGGTTCTAAAAGTGATTATCATGCTGTGATTTCATCTTTTATTGCCATTCCTACAGTGCATTTCACATTCCAAAACAGCCACAGCCTGAATGAGCACCTAGAAGAATGTATAATTTCCAGCCTTCTGCAAATACTGATTAATCAAACCAGTTTTTATCCACAGCAGTGTTTTTAACAGAGCTGCTGAAACTGGACAGAGAACACTGACATAGCATGGCTCATGGTCCACAGCAATTTCACTACCAATTTTACCATGATAATTACAACAGTAATGTTCAGTTTAGAGAATCCATCTTGGAGCAAGGCATTAGAGTGTGTAGAATTGTCTGTTCATATTGTTGAAGAATCTGAAAAGCCAAAACCACGAGAGATCACTTTTCAGAGAGACAAGGTGTACTTGTCCACAACTTTTAGAAAAACGAATGATAAATGTTGTACCAGCTTGCAGTACAATATAAATAGCAGATATGCTGAACAAAAGGGAGGCACAGTGAAGGTGAAGCCAAGGTGTCTCATTGTTTATGATGTCTGTACTCATGGAGTGGTCTCTGGTGATCAGTAACAATAAACTGTCTTAAGAAAAAGTTCTTTTACAGGTTCAGATTTAAGGATGAGCAACCAGGGCCTCCAAACAAACAAACAAACAAACTCCATGGCTTCAGTCTGCAAGTGAACTATATCGACTGAGTGATCGCCACTTGTCAGCGAAGTTAGTGCCAGCTTTAGCAGATAGAGGGCATCGCATGGTCAGTGCAACAAATCCCCAATGCCCTTTAATTTCAGTTTTCTAGACCAGAACCTGGGCCTTCACAAAACAGAAATAGAATACATGTTTTTTATTGGCATATGTGTTTCTCAAAAATCACCAAAAGTTAGTTTTTATTTTTGGTTATTATAAGAAATAAGAGGGGCCATGCGGTAGCGTAGTTGGTTGAGGGGCTATGCTACAAGCCGGAAGGTTGTGGGTTCAAGTCCGGATGAGGTCATTGGATTTTTTCAGTTGACCTAATCCTTCTAGTCGCACTAGGCCCTGGGGTTTACTCAGCCTCTAACAGAAATGAGTACCAGGAATTAATTAAATAATTTTCCTGGGGAGTAAAGCGTGGCCGGTGCGTAAAGCTGACAACCTTACTGCCATCTTTGAGCCGATTGTCTACATAGTGTGGGAGCCTCAACGTCTCACAACCCTATGGGCCTTCACGTCCTGCTGCAGGGATAGCTTTACTTTTTTACTTTTTATAAGAAATAACAACCAAAAAGAAGTCATTACATGAATTTGTTTTTACTGATAGGGGCCTCCATATTTTGGTTGCTCCAGAGTTCCCAGACATGTAAATCTGACTCTGTTCTTTTATCATATTCATTGTGTGGTCATAGGTCGTTAGGACATTAAAGAAGACATTTCTCAACTGCAGGAGAAAGAGGAGGAGTGACAGAGAGCACTGACATTAATGAGACACTAATCCAGGTGAATGAAGATGCAGTTTTTCATACTCTGCAAACAGTTACTTTCATGCCAAAGAGAGACTGGAAGGTCAACTGAACATGATAATGAAAAACCACATACTCATATACATTACATTCACCAAAGATGATAAATGTCTGACAAGACATTGCAGTGTGTATCAAATAGAATGTCAAGAAGGAAACAGGACTTTTGTGTTTCCTATATGTAGTTGCTGTATGTCCAGAAGTTTGGTACATGCAATATCATGTCCTTAAAGTCTTCTAAAAGTAAAGGTGAAGTTGTCCATATGCTCAATTAATTAAGCATTACACCATGAAGACACATGAGGGAGTGGAGTTATGGTTCCACCATTCATACTCTCCATATGCGATGGAATTGAGTGGTCAGCTTCAAGCCCTGATGCTTTACCCCTGGGGAAATTGCTCCCTGTACCCATTGGATAGGAGGCCTGATGGCCTCCAGAGCTGGTCTCAACAGCATGGAGTACAGAAAGAACCTTGCCTTTGCCGGGAATAAAACCCAGGCTATCCAGCCAGTAGTCTGGTGCTATATAAATGGAGCTATTCTGACTTCTGCTGTTTCATTATCTTTTCTATTAGCCCATGCTATGACATGTGATAGTGGCCAAAGAAAGTTTCTTTAATCTCCTGTTCCTTTAGAATATGCATGACAGACATTTACTGTGACAAGTGCTGGTAATAGTGTACTTTCTGTATTGATAAACTTTTAGCAGTCCATAACAGCAGTTGGTGCAATATTATTCCCTCCTGGACTGAAGACAATTTTGAGTACAGAAAGATACAGTTCTGAGGCGGTAATGTTGAATGTCTTAACACAGGTAGCACCTCCTAGGCTATGAACCATTCAGCTGGATTGAGCACGTAGATTTTGAAGTCAAACAGCAGCAAGTGCAGCTGCATCACACTCCTTTTGCAACAATAGCATGGCCAGTGTTTTGTATGTGATATCCCATGTTGTGTCGATTTCTGGCACAAGTTTGTGGACACGCTTTTGTAGCATCATGTTCATTGCCACTAGGTACTCTTTTGTTGAACAGGGTGATTTGAAATAACCCACAATTTGGTGCTGTTTTCCTGGAAAATTGTAAATTTGGATCTAGCCCTTGCATTATGATTGGATTAATCGTGTGTAAAGCAAAGAGTGTGTCACTTGAGGTAGATCATGATAGGAGCATTGTTAGGTACAGTGCACAGAACTTTTCCTTGCAATTGTCAAGAAGCTATCTGGTTTTCTAGCTCTTTTTCAGTGTTAATAGCTGTCAGTGCATTGTGAAACCTTACTGTAGAGTTACATTTTCTTAAAGTTCTTTGTTAAAAAATCAGAGGTAACCACTGCATAAGATTCTGTTGACAGAGAAACCCATGGATGAGTAGTCAAGCTGATGTGTTCCTCTTTAAATGGAAGCAGGACATACTTGTGCTCAGCTTCTGAAAGAAGTAGCTGGTAAATAAGGCATTAACTCTGAAACAGTGGAAACTTTGGATTCTGCAGGCAGACAGAGGTGAAACAAAATATAAAACTCGTTACACCCTATACACATGGCATGATGTGTGCGGTATCATTCTTTATGCCTCTGTGTCTGTGTACTGTTCCGTAATTTTTGTATTGGCCCTTAATATCAAACATTCTAGCNGGGGGAGAGTAAGTGAGAGGAGAATGAGGGAGAACTGACAGTGGCACACTTATCCTGGCTTTCATAATGCAGTGTCTTTATCTCTCTAAAGCATCGAACTCATGCCTAAAAATGAGCTCAGCATTTCTTGAGAAGCAAAGTATCTGATCAGTGATTGATCTGTTATGTAGAAACCCACACTGATGATCTCCATTAATTCTGTCTATGTATGGACTTAACCTTGAGAAGGATATTGGATAAAATTGTGTATGAAGTTGATAACAGTGATATCCCTCCATAATTACTACAGTCAATTTTATTGTCCTTGTAAATTAGTACAACAATAGACTCCTTTCATTTCTGAGGCAATTATTTCTTACTCCAAGTTGAAATAATTAATATGATTATGAATCTCAAGCTGTGGTGTTCACCTCCTGCTTGAATTCTGCCAGAATTTTATCACTACCTGGCAACTTATACTTTTTCAACTTTGAAATAGAAATTGCAACCTCAAAAGGACTATGTTTAGGTACTGTCAGCTCAATCATATATATTCATACCTGCCTAACATCACTGACTGAGAGAAGTAATTGTTCAGCCTATTCAGAATGTGAGAATATGCAAGCAGATCACTATTCTCATCCTTTACTGAGAACTCCCTTTTGTAGTTCCCTAATTTTCTGGTTTCTACTTTTCTGTGCAAGCTCATTAATTTTGTCTTTCAAATATTCCTTCTATTTATTCCTGAAATTCCTGCTGACTTCATATCTTATATTGTTCATGTTATCCCATTTATTTTGCTTGGATCCTATAACCACTGCAGTTTCCTTTTAATATCCACATCATCATCATCACCATCATCATCTATGTTTTCCAAAGCTACAAACCTATTTTAGATTTCAACCCAGTACTTGCTTTACTCTACCTCATTCAATTTCTTGAGACTGAACCTCTCCATATTAAACTTTTGCACAGTTTGTTTACTCACTGCCAGTCCCCAACTTTTGCCACCACCAGATAGTGGTCATTATCACAGTCTTCTCCCCTGAACAATCAGACATGAAGCACACTTGAATGCCATCTCCTGTCTCTCAGAATATGGTCAAATGGGTTTGAGAGTGTTTTCCCTACCTACTTTGGTATCAAAATCTCGTAACAACATTTTCATATGGTATTTAAGGAATTTGTCAAATACACATTATAGTTCTGCATAGGAGCTGTCCATACCACCAATTTTATATTCTGCTGGGGTACATTCAGAACAGTGATATCACACCAGGGACCTCATAGTATTATGGAATATTTGCTCAAAGCATGATCTGTGGAGCCAGAGAAACTGCCATTTGCTAGCAAACAGCTCTGAAACAACATTCATTTCCAGGCAACGGCCACAAAACAGACAGCGGAATGATGTCCATTGCTAGGCAGCAGAATTGTAATAAGCAAGAATAGACAGCCACTGCTAGGAGATAGTTTGATAAACACTCAGAGTTCAACCAAATCAGTTCTATACGGGAGTCTGAAGAAAAGAGTCAGTGACAGTTAAACAGGAAGTTGAAGGGAGCTGCTTTTCTGAAAGGACGTGAGCCCAGAGGTGAAGGAATAGCCATTTTTA